ATTTTTATCATTGCAGTAAGCATTAGTGAAATTTTGATACATTTTGGCATTTTAAATCTGAAGGATTATTTTTACTCTGTATTGGTCATGGTCCTGTAGTACTTTGACACACATGTAGTAAAATTGTGGATATTTTAAATATTCTGTGCAGTTATATAGCCCAGGTGTGAAGAATTAATGAGTTACAGTTTTGTGCCAAGGAAACGAAATAACTCCAAGGATCATGATTGTGTGATACTATAATTTCTAAAGACCTCTTGGAGCAGTGTCATTGTTTCATGAAACATTTGTAATGGTATTATCCAGTACTAAAAAGAAATGAAGGTTACTTTGATCATAAACATTCAATAACATTTGAGTGCAGTTGAGAGATCTGAGCAGAAAACAAGAAATGGTAACCTGAGACAAAATACAATGATTTTTGTCAGTGTATCAGAGGCTTTCATTTGAGTGATAAAGTACAATTTCCATAAATTTCCCTCCTTAATTACAGTTATTATATGTTCTTTGCATGATATGCATGAAATGAACAAATATGAGGCTGGTCATGTCTGTTCCTCCATTTGTCCACATGATTGAACTTGAGAACCATTGGACAGATTTCAAATAAATTTGGTATGGATGTTAAGACATTGGGGACTACCCTAGAATTATGCTTTTCAATCATCATAGACTCAGTAATACCAACATGACTGATAAACAAACTTGTGAGGTAGGGCCGACATTAGCACCACTTGCAGTAGGGCCATACAGTGATGTATGGTTATGGATTTTCTGAGAATACAAAACTTTGGTAAGATAATGTAATATATTGTGTAATGTAAAATAATACATGACAACAGCACGGAAAAAAAATTGACTTGACCAGGAATCAATCCTATTGCCCATGCATATGAGTCTTGTACATTACAAGAGAGCTAAGGTTCCTTATGATGTTTTATTTTTGATTTACAGTACTTAAAGAAGATTTTAAGGCCATGGAATTTGTGTTGTTTGGAATGAAAGTTGTTTGAGTAAGATAATTGATGTAATTTAGAATATGCAGAGAACGTGTGTATTCAGAATACACCTTTCCAGCCTTGTTTTAATCACATTCAGGCACTATGCTAAAAAAAAAGTTACATCAACACAGTAAGTGTATAATATCAGGTAAGTTTCTACAATGAAATGTTGAGTTAAGCAAGGCTGAGGTAACATTTTAAAATTGGCAATATGTTTTTTCATCTCTTATCTGACTCCATTTTTAAATATATGGTAATTAATTTCTGTGCTAAAATATTTTAACTTCCACACACAAAGTAATGTCGGAACAAAAAATATAGTGTGTTGATCAAAGGGTTGGATTGCTTGAGAACTACAATGGTTATTCGACCTCTTACTTCCCATGTTTAATGTTAGGAAGATTGAAATTGGAAGTAGGAGAGACTTTTCTTTAACTTTTGAAGATTGTTGTTACATAATAATACGGTAATGGGGCTACAATAGCAAACTCTTTTAGATCAAAAAATATAGCACAGCCAATGTATCTAAAACTCCAAAAATATATGAACTATACATGAATGTTCCACTTCCACCTCTGCTTTTGGGAAGAATTTTTTCATCCTGTGCTGGCCATCACTTTACAGTTAACACTTCATGAACTTCTCATGCTTGATTGAATGATGTGCATGACCGTATATTAACATGATGGTTCAAAATAGGAAACGTCTTAAAGTGATGCAGTTTTGTGCTGTACAGAAAAACAGGAATTTAATTTTTCTGCTGAATGAAATAACAGTCACAAAAATGTCAGGTAAATATTTAAAACAAGTTTGGTACTTTTAAAGTTAATATTTCTGTGATCTGATAGGAAATATATCTAATTTTTATGACGCCTATGTTTTACAGTAAATATTATTCATTTAAGATCAGAATTTCTGATTAAGGGAATAAGTAAAGCATATGAAACAGGAGTGCAAGAGAAGCTTCTCAACACAAACAGATCAATACCACTATCACAAACCAGCATATAATTTGGCAACACCATTTTAATGCTTTGAAGCAAGTGCCAACTGTGATGAAATTTCTAATTTTTGTATGAGAAGCAAATAACATAAATAGTGGAAAAGAAATGTTTTTAAGAAAGAAACCATTACTAAATAAATCTGTATCACTCATTCATTTATTTTTGGGACATTTTTATAGTCTTTACAGTGAGGTGAGCAAAAATTCAAGTTCAGGCGCTGTGATATAAGAATACATTGTACCAAGGAATTACATTTTCCTTGGCACACATCTATGACCATTATGACAAAATGAGAGTGACTTTAAGATCATTGTAGACAGGTTGCTAAACATTGCTTGAAATTAAACATATTGGACAAAGAGTTAGAAGGCAGCCGAAGGGATGCTGAAAAAAGTATTTAGAGGCCAGCACAGGCAACAAGTAGCCTAACCACAGAAGAAAATAACTTATTTTCTGTACCATACAGGAAATTATTTGGTATGAAAGATAGTATTTAAAATTTATGCACCACAAACTGGGTTGTAATGAAATATGGTCTTGACTTCTGCTGATACAGAAATGAAAATATATATTTCAAGAAAAATCATGTTAATGACAGCCATCAGAAATTAGATGGGTGTCTTTGAGTTGTTGAGAGGTGTTAAATGCCTCCATCATAAGGGCAGTCACCCTACAACCCTGAAGAAGGAGACAGTATGTTTCTCCAAAGTGTTGACATCTATTGATCAGTCTACACAGTGCCAAAATCCAGATGAACAGCATGATCATCCTCGCCTCCATAAGAACCTTGTATCTCAATAGTAAAACATATTTTAATCAAACATTTGTTAGAAGTAGGCCTATGAAAAATCACATTATTGCAAAGGCACACTGTTCTGTTGTTCAAACTATATGACATTTAACCAAACAATATAAAAATTACTATGGTATTAATAGCTGAAATTTTATAAAATTAACATTGGTTTGTAGTCAAAACTGTTTGAAAGCTAACAAACAATGCCTGTGAAATAGACTTAAAAGTTTCCATGTTTAGTTTTTGTTGTGACATTAGTTTCTCAGATTTCATACATTTATAATTTGAAGTCTTTGTTGATTTTGCTTCAGCTACAGTCATTGTAACAAAGTTCCTGGAACAGTATTTGAAACTACACAGCATATTTCAACTGTAGGTGAAAGGACTAAATTGGAAGTTACAAAGGCTGAATATTTAACAAAATACATTTTAGAGACACTGCATAACTGGTGGCTGTGCCAGTTCCAAAGGACAAATTTTTCAAGAATTATCTGTTTCAAAATGGGTTCTCATCAAGATTCAATGATTTTCACTCTCATTGCAGTGAAACTTTCTTTTCAAAGTAGACATCAATGATATTATTGAACCTCAGATGGACATAATTGAACTACAGACTGATTCATTAAAAATGTGCCTTTAAACTGTCAGACATGAGAATATTTTATTGTGGAATCCCTTCAGAAGTCTTCCCAAAAATCAGGAAATTTACAGGAGGCATGATAACTGTTTGCAAGCATTTGTTAGCAAATGTTCTCTTATTTGAATTTCAGGAAAACCAAGTTTTGCTCCAAGTTAACAGATGACCATCAGTACCAGCAATTAAGAATTGCCCCAATAAATTTAAAGCCAAATACAGACTGTCAGAAGACATCATGCAAAAACCACATTAAACTAGTGCACCTTCTTAATTTTGAAGTTTGACATTTGATTTTAGGAAACTGCTCCACTTGAAATTTATGTGCTGAAAATATGGTGAAATAATGTGTGACTGTCTGTATAGGGTTCCTAATTAAAAAACTTTAATGACATTGCTGTATTCTTACAAAACTGTTGACTTTGTTTCACTTTGACCTATGTGTGATGTTCTCTTTCAAAACATTGATACCTACCTATGAATCTACTTGTCAGAACCCAGGTCATCCTCACCACTGTGATAACCTCATATATTACACTAAGCTAAAAAGTAGTAACAATGTGATTTACGTTTCTGAAGAACAAAAATAAGGAAAATATTTGTAAGTATGCTTTCTTTCCAAATAAACTGTTCATAACATTTTTAACTTTCATGATGCCATGAATGTTTTTTTTAAGTTAATATATTATAGGCTTATTGAGAGATTATTATTACCTCTGCTGTATGGCAAAATACTGTTATTACCAATTTTAAAGTGAATACCAGCTGCATTCTTTAAGTTAATGAAAAATAGTTTCACTTATTGTCCATGACATTATTTTTTTGTGGCCCTTATAAACATGTAAGTGCAGCCTGTGGCAATGGAAAAGTTGCTGACACCTGTTGTAAAGGATGGTTAGTGGTATTGTCATCAAGGTTGATTCATAAATGAGGGTGTCAGAAAGTTTCTGCAATTAATTTTTTATTAAATAATACAATGACAATAAGTATGTACAATTGCATAATTTTTCGATATAGTCTCCAGCCTTTTAAACACGCTTAGTCCAGTGGTCCACATGGTTCTGTATGCCCTCACAATTTTTTTTTTTTTTTAGTTACAAGCCATGTATGCACCGCTTCTTTTATTTCTTGGCCATTGGGGAAATTGCAGCCTCTCAGCGTCTTTCAGTGGACCAAAGTAGTGAGTCAGGAGGAGCCAGATGAGGACTATACGGAAGATACTTCAACATCTCAAAGTTCGGTTGGCGGACGCTTTCAATGGTGTGGGCGTCAGAGTGCGGACGGGCATTAACGTGCAAAATTGCGATAGCTTTCGGCGACAGTCCTCGGCGTTTGGTTCGAATAGCCAGTCGGTATTGATTTCAAGAGCAGAATCATGACTGGTGCGCCACTTCATCGATAGTTAACCGTCGATTATCCAGAATCATGGCATGGATTCCTTTTATGCTTTCCTACGTAGTGGACTGGTCGGGCGTCCTGATCGTTCATCGGTGACATTTTTGCAACCATTTGTGAATACGGTAATCCATTCGTACACATTTCACTGCGATAAAGCAATGCTTCCATATTGTGCTGAAAGTCTGGCATGAATTTCTACCCTGCTTCAGCACACAGAAATCGTATCACTGTACGCTGCCATTCTTTCGTACATACGGAAAGTAGAACTCTACGACACTGCAATTGGCTGGTCAAGATTGAAAGTATTTCAAGCAACGTAAAGTGCACGTGCTTCGTACAAAATAAGCAGTGCAGCCAACACAAGCTGTAAAATAAATCATTGCTGAAACTTTCTGATTCACCCTCATATACCTCTAATTCCATGGAACAATCCTTGAGAAGCCAACAGTCATACAGGTAAGTCAAGAAATTCTGTTAGAGTAGAGTAGAGTAGAGTTTATTTACATTCCATAGATCCTTTTTAGGACTCAACCAAAGGATGTAGAACATGTCATTACATACAACATACATAAACTTCAGAACTTCATACAATATATTAATACATAAACTTCAGAACTTTCAACACAAGTACACGAAAATATTTCACATATAAACGTACATAAACTTCAGATTCTGCAATACAAGTATGAAAATTAATATTACAAATTAATATACCTCAGAATTTTAAATTTTAAATAGAAATACAAAACTTGCTTTACATATAAATTATAGATATACATAAAGCTTGTACATCTGTATTTATTTTAAATTTATCCAAGTATTCCACCACAAATGATAGCAAGCAGAGTATAAATTCACTTGCAAGTGACGGTATATTAAATTTACGAAATAATTTTCTACAAGATACCCTCCTTTTGACACCTGCCATTATTCTAATTATTTTCTTTTGCATGTAAAACACTTTATTACTGTCTGTTGAATTTGCCAAAAATATTAATCCATATGACACTACAGAGTGGAAGTAAGCAAAGTAAACTAGCTTTAAAGTATCTATTGTCATGAGTGGTATGACTATTCTCATGGCAAATCATGCAGAGCTTAATTTGGGAATAATATACTCAATGTGTTTCTTCCAGTTTAACATATTGTCAACTGTAAGCCAAGGAATTTTTTTGTTTCAACTTCTGCAATTAATTTTTCTTCAAACCCTATATTTAACCTAGGATATGTCTTGTGCTTAGTAACAAATTTTATGAAGTTTGTTTTTTTCAAAATTTAGTGCCAGTTTGTTAGCTCTCAACAATTTGTTTGTGTTGGAAAAGACATCATTCATGATATTTTCAAGATAGATCAATTCTGGGTGTGTAATAATGATACTTGTAACATCAGCAAAAAGAATAGGTTTGGGTATAGAGTTTATAGTTGCCGGCAGGTCATCGATATATATGAGCAAAAGTAAGGGTCCAAGAACTGAACCTTGTGGCACTCCGTGAATTACAATACCCCATTCTGAATATGTATTATGATTGGTATGGGGGGCTTTTAATTTCTACTTTCTGCCTTCTATTATTTAGGTAGGATTTAAACCATTGTCCTGCTATACCTTGAATTCCATAAAATTTCAGTTTCATTGTTTACACAATCAAATGAATTGGCTAGGTCACATGATATTCCACCCACATGCATTTTAATGTTAAGGGCACATACAATTTCATTAGTGAAACTAAATTGAGCCTTTTCTGTTGAGAGATTTTTTCTGAATACAAATTGTTCCTCTACAAGGATGTTGTTTGAGGATAAGAAATTATTTACTCTCTTACACGTAACTTTCTCAAAAATTTTAGAAAATGTTGTCAGCAGTGAAATTGGTCTGTAGTTAGAGATGCAGGATTTTTCACCCTTTTTATATAGTGGTTTTACTTTTGAATATATTCCTGAAAAGGAAACATTCCTACAGCCATTGAATGATAACTTGATGGAATAATTATATAATCTACGCAAGATTTAAGTACTTTAGATGAAATTCCATCATAACCACTGAATTTTTTGACTTGAGAGAAGTAATTATACTTTTAATTTCATTTGGTGTGGTAGGAATAAGATTAATATTCGGAAATGAATTAGGAATTGCCTTAGCCAAGAACTTCATTGCATCTTCGGTTTTTGGGGTTATGGTATCACTGCTGTTCATTCTTTCTACAATCGTTAAAAAGTAGGTAATAAAATAGTTAGCTATAAGTTTAGGATCATTTACTCTATTATTATTTATCATTATTGGTGGGCTTTCAATGCCTCTAGATTGTTTGCCAGTTTCCTTTTTTACAAGTTTCCAAACAGTTTTTACTTTATTTTCAGACTCTACTATCAATTTATTGTAATTCATGCGTTTATCTTCTTTAATGACTTGAGATAAAAGTTTGCAATATTTTCTATAGTGTTGCTTCAGTATTTGGTTATTACTGGTCCTGCTATTTAGGTAAAGAGCTCGCTTATATATGCATGATGTTTTGATGCCTTTAGTTACCCATACATTGGTTTCAGGCAAAAAAAATTCTGTTTTAGTAGGAAAACATTTTTTCAAATATGCTTAAAAAGATGTTCAGAAAAGAACTGAACTTTGAAACCATATCACCACCACTGAGTAATAATTCCCAATCTTCACTGCTGAGATGTTGTATAAATTCATTTAAAGTGACTTCATTTATCACTCTAGTTACGTTCTTATCATTGTGAAAGTTAGAAATAAGGTTTATGTTTTTTATAACTAATAGCTGAGCATCATGATCAGATAGCCCATTTATTACCGGTTTAATGGAAATGTGTTCTAACCTGTAACTATCTACAAAAATACTATCAGTGGCAGAGTTGGAGCTGTTTTGAATTCTTGTGGGAAAACTAACTGTAGGTGTAAGACTAAATTTTGCTAAAAGAGAATTTAGACATTGCTTACAGCAGTTTCACTGTCACCAGCCTATGACTACTTATTCAATATACTCGCAGCTACCCTCCATATATCTGGAGGCTTCCTCCTCCATCTTCAATCTGAGGATGTACCATGTTGTCATTTTATTTTGTGACAGCTTCTCCAAGCCTCGTGTTACTTCCATTTTATTTATTTATTGATAGAACTTTATGCATAGCTTACCTTTTATTTTCCGTCCAAGAAATATTACGTAATATTTTATTATAAACAGACACTAAAAACCTCAACAGGTAACAGGTCCATATAAGCAGAAATTAAATCAAGCTATTCTATTAACCCAGGCTTTAATACAACATTTAGAATATTTAGAGTACCAAGGTCTGGACCCACTGTTGAAAGTTTAACATTCCTGGGACCTTTGTAGACATTCATTACCATATTTATACGTGAAACTAATACACATTTCTATGCATTTCAATTTTCTTCAGTGTGCCTTGCATACTACAAGTTAGTATCTTGTTTATGTGTATCAATCTCGAGTGGCAAACCAGAAAGAGAACATATACCGAATTTTGTCCATGCATTCATAAATTGATTTTCCTTGACTATATAAAAGGCATTTTCAGGGGTGGTTTGTGTGTAGTCAAAACAGAGACATCATACGAGATAATATCATAATGCTTTAGCCTATCCAGCAGCAAGTGTCATTCATATGAAATAAGCCTTTATTAGAATAAGGAGTATGTTATATATGCAGCATGTAGAAAGAAGGAACAAAAACTGTAGTGTTGTAGGTTATGTATACAGCCTGAACCTCGTTACTTTTATCCTTACTATAACCAATTTAACCAACATACATTAACTGACTGCATTTATATCATGCTGAAATATAAATGAAAAATAGTAATGTTGGATCCAACCTATGATAATATATCAGCGAATCCGTAAACGTAATATTATTCCAATTTTGTAACATTCTGTAACACTGTGATGGTGGTCTTTTAAGGCCAAAACCTGTGGTTTTGTTCCTTAATTAATAATCTTAATACAAGTTGTGTTGATAGTTTAATTATTGCTGATTATTTTTTGATCTTACACAATGGGAAGCAACACTTAAAGATTTGTTATCATAGGTTTTTAATCAATGACTTTATTATCTCATTCCATGTAAATATGATTAGTCAGTATAATTTCTTCATGTGTACACATGCACAAAGACAACTGATGACTTTTTTCAAACCATTTTATACACATCTTATACAAAGTGCAGAATTATTCAATAGGAAACTCAAATCTGTTATATAATAAAATGTTACAGTTTATCATTACCTTATCTGTATCCAGAGAGTACCATGTGTTTGACTATATTCCAATTACCAGTATGTTATATGTTTACTCTTCAATGTATTCTTCATATTAAGTTCACATAAACAACAGTCCATTCTTATTTCAGTGTGTCTGTACAATACACAAATTTACAAGGATAACAAGTTATTCAATGAATAAAATATGTCACTTTTTATACTTGTTTACCTTTTTCCTTCCTTTGAGTCTCTTTCTGACTCCCTGTGAGTTTACATCATCATCATCATCTCCTATGCCTCCGCCCCCTTTCTTTCGCTTCCCTTTACCGAATGTTCTTGTTTCTATGTCTTTCACTTCCTGCATATCAAAATTAAATTATGAGAACTCTCTCTACAAATCACAAACCTAAAAATATAAATGAATGTGAAAGCTACAAAATGTTCCCATTCAGTCTTGTTGGAACAGACTAGTACAAAAGTTTTGTAATCTTTAATTTTTCTCTGGAACTTGACACTGAGGGGAAAAAAATGTAAAATAGTTGAATAACTGGCTCCTGCATTTGAACCTATGTCACTTCATAAAACTTATGTGTTTATTTCACCGTCCGTGTGAATAGGGAAAAAGAATATGCAGTTACAGTGGTTTTACCGCTGCGGCAGAAAAACTGCTCATGCGCGCTAGCCCTTAAAGTGATTCTAATATTTAATGCTGAAATATGGACCCTTATGAAGGGATATCAAATTTTGAAAGATACAAGGCAAAAGCAAGTTGAATTAGAAATGAAATCTATGAAAAAGAATCTGGAATAAAATATTTTATTCATAATTTTACAAGAAAAATAATGACAGTGGTTTGCCAATGTAGAGAGAATGGACAGAACAAGGATATTGTGAAGGGAATTAAAATTTAAAGGAAAGAGACCTACAGGATGACCCAGAACAAGGTGTTTCAAGAAGGAATAAAGAAACAGAAAACAGCTGGCAAGAAATTTAAAAGTAAATACTGTGGAAAATAAGACGAGACTGGAGACTTTTCATCCACAGACATATAAAATGGAAACTATGCTAGAAGATAACATCTGCCTCATGGAAAGAATCTTCCACTGCAGCTACTTGTCCTGATATATGTAAACACACATAAAAAATACCAAAATGGCAGATGGACTGCTACACAATCAGAAGAACAAAACTGAGTCAAGAAATCAGTTGCAAAAACAATAATAAAACAAAAGGTAACTCACAATTTTAGCAACTCGTTGAGCTTCAGAAACCCTCTCTTGTAGGACCATAACTTCTTCTTCCTCTGTCTTGTACAAAGGAAGCTGTTTGCCTATAAGATGTTCTATTCTTTGGTAAAGCTCAACATCATACTGTAAAACATACAAAGCCTGTCACTGCTTCAACAAACAGTGGACTGTAACACATGGTAGGAAGTGATCATGGTCTATTCTTAATTTACTCACTTTTTCCATCAGAAGTCATAAACAATCTGAAGTCAGGAAAGCCAACCACTAGTCAAAATTTGAAGCCATGACTTATATGATATGAACTGAGACACTAATCATTACATCACAATGTTCAGTCTATGCAAACAGAATGCTCAAAAGTGCAATAAGGCAACAATTTGAAAGGGACACATGTTGATACACAATGCAAAATAAATACGTGTAAATATTCCTTTCAAACCAAAAACAGCAAAACATACATGAGCAAGATTGACATTTACCTGAGTCACAAATGTGATTGATTTACCAGCTCGACCAGCCCTCGCTGTTCTGCCAACTCGATGAATGTAATCTTTGCTGTGTGTTGGAATGTCAAAGTTGATAACAACATCAACATGAGGTATGTCCAAACCCCTATGAACAAGCAGACAGAATCACAGTTGGATATGAAACCACTGACAAATCACTTTAATCACTGTCAGCACAGGAATTAAATATTTATGGCAGGTCTCTCTTTGTAAAGGATGTTAATGTACATCATTATTTATTCAATTTGAAAATCTTTCTTCTGTTTAGTGGTAATTCTTACAACTAATGTTTAAGGAGTGGCACTGGGTTATTGTACGAGGTGCGATCGGAAAGTTTCAAGACTGTGTCAATAGAGGGCGAACCGGATGTAGTACGAGCTTCTGTCGCTAGGGGGTGCGGCCTACATTCATAGTGAATCAGTATGACCTCTGAAACGTTGGTAAACATCTACCATACTACACAGCGCAACAACCCAGAAGTCAGAAATCTTCATACTCACTGCTGTGAAAACCTCAAATCTTACATAATAAATAAATATATACAGCATGCACATACAAAATGAAATATGGTTTGAGATTTATCTCAATGTACCTCACCTACTGGCTACATCAGTAGAGATAAGAATAGATCTATTCTTTGCTTTAAACTTGGTAAGTGCTCCTAGACGTTTGTTCTGTGACATCTGTCCATGTAGTGGAACAGCTGTAAAGCCAAGGCTACGAAGCATTAATGCTGTTCTGACAGTGTTGCTACAAGTTGAGCAGAAGATCATAAATGAATTTCCAGCCATTTCATTCAAAATGTGAACCAAATAAACATCCTGTAAAGAAAAACAGTGAAATAACTCCACACAATCAGTGACTTTTTCTACAGATTGCACCCTTTCCACCTGCTTTTTACAAAGACAGTCTCAGAAATAAAGCACGGCAGTGTATACAAAGATTTTTTTTTACATTTTTATCAAAAGCAACAGAAAAATAATAATTGTTCGCCAACATAGAGTTAATTGACTCACACAGAAATATTTAACCGTCAGTAGAGGGCAACACTATATTCAAAAATTGAAATGACAAGAATGATAGTACAGTGTAGGGTCAATAACCCATCTAGATCCTGAGTTTGAATTTATTTTTGAAATATAAAGATGAATACAAAAGTATGTAATTGGGATAGCACTGAATAAATAATATTAAATGACTCTACCAAATAAATATCAAGTACTTATAACATACAAAGTAAATGGATACAAACACCACTTTATATCAGTCTCACCACACCAACATCATAACACAGAGAAGTGACAGTCCACAAGTGAAGACAGTATGTTTGAAGAGTAACACCTCTCTTACAAATCATGCAACATCCACCTCTGAAATGCTAGTAAATTTCTATAAGACTACATAATACAACATCCCAAAAGACAGGATCTTCATACAAATTTTCATGAGAACCTGAAATCTCAACATTAATCCTGCGTACATTCAATAGCTGACAGAAGTAAACTTTCCACCCATACAAAATACTTTTGAAATTTTCAAGCAGATAATTCCTGTATTTTACCAAGTGAGTCCTAGGCTGTTAATCCTCTAATATTTTCCCCAAGCCCTAATGATCACAATCATCCAAGTTTTCCAGAGCTGCAAACCTGCTTGAGATTTTTACTTCGTACTGTTCATTAACTTCTGTGTGGTTTAGATTTAAAATATTTGCACATCAAACTTTTGTGTCTCTCATTTACTTATAGCTAGGCCCTCTATATGTTTTGCAGCCACCAAATAGTGGTATCATAGTCAGTTCCTTTAAAGCAAAGACATCACATATACTTGACTGTTGTCTTATATCTACTAAGATGTGATCCATTTAACTGTGTCCAGGAGAAGTCCAAGTGCATTTACGAATTTTGCTATGTGGCAGCACTGTATTCTTGATACCACTTTTTATGTGACAAACTTTACATTCTAATCCAAGTATCATTACTAGTTCTATTTATACCATTATTATTCCCAACTGTCTGTTTGAAAATATCTTCCATCCCCACCTTTATAAAAAAAACTACCAAAATTTTCAGGTGGTGCTTAGGGAAATGATCAAATACATGCTTTTGGTCATCATAAAAGCTGTCCTTTGCACCATAACATTTATCCTCAGTTGGTACATGCACATTCAGAATAACATCATACAAACGACCTCTTAGTATTACATGACATCCGAATATTAACAAACATACCCTCTGGACTTAAAAAGAAAGCTGTCCCTAAATGATAATCAATATTCCCATTTCCATACAGGTATGTATAATCATCTGTTGGTTCAGTGCCACCCTTGCCCTATCTGACATCTTGTACTTCCACTAAATATAACTTACATTTTTCTGATTCTCTTGTTTCTATCTTCAAAGAACCTGACCTAGAGAAGCTATTGGCATTCCACATTCCATATCTCATGTCCATTTCCTGTCGCTTTCGTCTTTCCAAACAATCCAAGTCTGAAGCCATATGTAAGATTTCATAACATTTTGTTTTCTTATGACTAGAAGTTTCCCCCCCCCCCCCCCCCCCAACAAATTGGAGGGACCCCTTGATGGCTGTCAGCAATTGCTCATTCAATATATTAACAGCTATCCTCCATAACCACAGGCCTTCTCCACCATCTAAAACCTTGGAATGTCCCATGCCATGGTAACAAGGTACCCACTTAACAGGAGAAATGTAACATGCACCAAATGCAAAATTCCTACTTTATTATTAACAAAGTAAAAATATTTTTAAAAATTGTCTACATGGTTATAAATGAGATGTCCTGTAGCAGGAATTTTAAATAAACTGGATTTCTAATTATAATTCTTTCCATTTGTGTTTTTCAATGCATAATTTGAGAACAATATCATCATGTGTGGTATTTTAACATCACAGCACTAAAATACTCTACCTTAAATTTGAGTGGAATAAAGATGTAATACTGCTGTAGTTTTTCAACAGTCTGATATTTTGTAGAAACTTCCACTTTGACTGGATCTTTCAGTGAAGCTCTCTGCAATTTCTGTACTTTTTTAGTCATTGTTGCCGAGAAAAGGAAAGTTCGACGCTCCCGTGGAATTACTTTCAATATTTTGTCTACTTCTACTTCAAAGTCCATGTTCAGAATGCGGTCTGCTTCATCCATAACCTTGGAAATAACACGAATTACTTGTCTGTAATGGCATCTGCTAAACATTGATAAAGATAACCTGCTGCTCTGATGAACAGGAATGTACAAGATTATGACTCAGTTGAAAATTGTGATAAGATGACACTTTCAACCCAATCCAAAAAGTGTCCAACTGCAGACAAGTGACATGTGATAATGGAAGTGCCCAATAATAATTAACTGGAGAAATTAAGACATAGCAAGCTGAATGATGTATAATCAAAATATTATGCCTCTCCAATAACTTAGACAGTAAAGTGAATGCCTAGGAATGGGATGATCAAGAAGTCCAAGTCCTCTTCTTTGAGTGAAGGAACCAGAATGTGAACTAGAGTTGCCTCCATGTCTACATTCCTTCATTGCATAATGCATCCTTATTGCACCTGAGATTCTTTTGTTCTTGTGTTGAGATCCACCAGTATTTCTTGTGGTCAAAAACTTTAAAAGCACTGTGCTTTACCAGGGACTGGGAAAGGAGATACAGGAAAGCTGTGAAAATTACAATGGAATACCAATCCAACAACACATGAAATCTATTAATGGCTCCTCTGTTTGAAACAGATGTGTTGAAACTTTGCTAATGTATATAAGTATTACCAGGAATTTGAGAGCACGCAGGTTAAAACCTTTGGTGTTTTCCAGGTGATCCACTAGTCTACCTGGAGTAGCAATTATGATATGAGGTTTCTTTGCAAGTGTTAATGCCTGTGACATCATGTCCATTCCTCCAACAATTACAGCACATTTCACACCAATACTTGATCCTGAAAAAGTATTACAATAATTCACAAAAATTTTATGTCAGATACAATTTATAACTAATAAACACTTTGACAGCCAACAAATACAATTCATCCACTTGTTTATGGACAAGGAAATCTACTGAAGATAATTAACTCATAACTTATGAAACTGGACATAACTAGAAGTACAAGAAGAAGCAGGTATTTTTTTACTTTTGTGTGATTTTTGTTCATTGGTATTCTCATTTAAAGGTTTCTACTACAATCTGACAATACACAAACAAATTTACTAACAAAAAATCCATAAAGTATGCCATTTACTTACATAAAATATGAATTAGTATGTGAGCCCTTGAAAAGGCTTAACAAGATGTCCAGAATCCTTGAGCTTCAACCATGGACCTGCTTCTTCTCACAGTTCTGGTCTCACAAGTATAGCACAAATAATATGATAAAGTGAATGATAATGACAATTACTTTTTGCTCATTAACAAAAGTTTATTGGACTGTTCATGCAGACAGAATACGTCTTTTCCGAATATCAAAATTTACATACTTCTGTATCCCTTTGCAATTGTTCTTGGTAAGAGTTCCACCCAGAAATTTTTAAACATATAGTTTAATAATAAACAAATATAAGGATATTAAAAAAAATTGCATAGATTCAAATTTCTGTCTGGTTTTTGCATGGATGCCCATGCACTATGCTACTAACTAGGCTACCATGCCATGCAGGTGGCTGGTTAAAGTACAGTGTTTACCCCAGTTTTGCTGTTGATCCTATGACATAGCTGGGAAAAGTCAATGACATTTATCCACATTCTTCCTAAAATGAGGCAGGCATATTTGTGACTTTGCTTAACAGAAATATGATATAAAAGTAATTAATGGAAGGTAGAGAAAGTCATAATTACAAATGACTGAAATAATGATGCTGCATACTTGCATCACTTCCGGTTTGGGACTTTAAATCTTTTAAGGGCTTAGTTCTTGTACTCAGTGTACACACACATACACTTGATCCTTGATAGCTTAAAAGTGGACAAAATGATAGAAGAGTTCCAAATGAATGACAACAAGCACTGCTGTCACAGAAACAAACAGACAAAAGCTTCAGATAAAATCATACATGTCTTACCAAGAGCTTCAAATTGTTCTGAGATTTGGAATGCTAATTCTCTAGTTGGAGTGAGAATTAAAGCAAAGTAACGCTGAGGATTCACCAATAACGCTTGTAATATTGGAAGTGCAAATGCTCCTGTCTTTCCTGAACCAGTTTCTGCCAGACCTATTACATCTTTACCTGTAAAAAAAGAAGATATCATTCATATGAATGTTGGGGCTATGTGAAAGTTAAGATCAACTCCCATACAACAGTGATGACTACAATACGATGCCAGAACTAATAAAACCAAAATATACTTCTGCCAATGCTACATATTTAAAATATGATACTGTACCTTGCAATGCAACTGGAATTGCCTCCTTCTGAATTTTTGACGGTGACTTCCACTTCAGCTGTTCACAAGCTTCACATAACACGTCTACAATGCCCTTAGAAAGAAAATAATACAAATAACAACCGCCAAATATAACCTTATAAGTCATATGGAAGATTCTCATAACCTCTACAACTTCACGTGCCTACAAGGCATTTACACAAATGAACAAACTATTACTCAAAATAAAACTGATGCTTACAAGATCTCGAAAGGAAACATCTCTATCTACATCTGTAGCAGATATTTCATTTCTTCCTTCACTTGTGGTTTCGTTACACCTAATATCAGACTCCATAATTTTCACACCACTAATAACCACAGACCTCAGATAACGCACAGAAAAAACATTCAAGAACCCAGCAACAGATGTGGACTTCAGTTACAGTAGTGGTGTGCGTATTGGCCTGCCACCTATTCACAATTCAGAAGTAAATGTCCCGTTACCGTTGTGTTTACATATGAATAGCTCATAGGATGCAGCACAATATGCACAGCTTTAATTTTCCCATCAATAGCATTGGTGTTGGGCATCTGGGATATTCTGTGTTCAGTTGTATGCCTGTTTTTCTACTTTTTGGTCGGTTTAATTCCTTTGTTAGCAGTTCAGATTTGAATTTGAAAATATCATGGTTGCAGTTTTTAGGTGTTGGATGGCCGCAAGGAGTGCTTTAATCCGCCAAAATACCCTCGGAAAGTGCGTTTGCAGTTCACAGAGGATATCTTCGAGTGTGTAGTAGTATAACAAAACTTGTTTTGAAATAATGAGTCACCCAAATACATCTATTTTCACTATAATTAACACAATTTTTAAGCTGTGTAATCTCTTTTCGCAATAAAACAGGCGGAATCGTACGTATGTCAGTACAAATAAAAATAAATTAGGTTATGGTTCGGCAATTACATGTTCTTTTGGGAGTTTTATTATCGTCCTAGAATATTAATGTGAGAAGTTGAAACAGACTATTATTATATTATAAATACATTATAAATATATGTTATTATAACAATCTTATATTTTGTAAATACCTGTAAGCAGTTGTGGGTGTGCTTTCTTGCATAATTATTTTTGCGGTAATACTGTGTTTGGCTAAAGTACTATCATAACTATGTAATTTACATTTGCACTAGAAACAGGTATTTGTGCTATGATATGTTCTGCTGCCTTGGCTTGGGCTTATGAGGGATCTATGGAATGTAAATAAATTGTTCTATTCTGACTATGACACTGATATTAACATTTATATTTATTAAGTCTGTTGGTTACAGTTTTCAATGTGGCTCCATGATCTTTTGTCCACTTCTGTATATATTTACATTCATCTTAACATACATATTTTATTTTCTGTTTCGAGGAAGGCCTTAACTTCAGTTAGGGTGAAGCAGGTTATCTATGGTCTGAAGAGTCATTATTCTTTATCAGATAGTAAATAAGTGAAGTTGCCTTTCATATGATTATGATACTTGAGTGTCATGAAAGTTCCTAACAAGATCTTGTCTAGGTATGCAGTGAATGCAGTGTCTAAAATATAGATTGAATGTGTGATGCTGACCAAGTGATTTTTATATTGTAAAAATTTTCAGATTGGTCTTTGGAAATCAGCTCTCATACCTTATTCATTCCATATGTGTCATTAACGTTTTTGCTGGAATGATCTTGAATAAATAAATACAAATACAGTATTCTACCAGCAGCTCTCCATCATGTTGGAAGCCTAAAAGTATTCTTTATATGTGAAGTTCAGTGTGAATATTCTGATATTAAAACAGGAAGAATGTGTTTAACAATCTCTGATATTTTTAACCTGGTGCATGTGTGATTGTGAGAAGTGCTGTCCAAGAAGGTTAGAGATAGAGGTCAGCCATTATGATGAGTACTAATTTAGTTAATTTTTGACTAGTTTTCTAAATTGATGACCTATTTTGACTTATTTCAGTGTCTTTGGTCTTATTCTCAGTTGTTTACTGGCATGTAGTACAAATAATATAGACAGATCTGTAAAGGAATTGTATTTTCTGTTTGGATATATTCTCCAGTTATTTAGAATGGTAATGAGTAGAATTGAAGTCCCTTTTTAATGCTTATTTTTATATGATATTCCTTGTAGTCCGTCTCTTTCCTGACTTTATGCAGATTTTCACTTAAAGATGACCCTTCCATCAGTTTATGGCATTATGTTTGACTGCTAACATGGTTGGCAGGCAAGGAATCACTGTTCAGGTGAACATAGAATACTGTTGGTGTGAAAGAATTGACATTGATGTATTCTGCTGATCATTCATTGAACACAGTCCATAGAGCTTGCATTGAATTTTCTGCATTAGCTTGCTGAAAGTTTACAGGGTTTTTTTTCCTGTTTTGTTAATTCTTCAAGTCTATGATTTTGCATTAGCTTGCTGAAAGTATACAGTTTTTTTCCTGTTTTGTTAATTCTTCAAAGACTCCACAGAAGCTTACCATTGTGAATTAACTAGGGCAAAAATAATATGAAGCTTCTGATTCTTCTAGTTCAATACACATTCAACCAACTTCCTGTCACGTAATGCGATCTTTTGGTTTGCATGAGGATTTTCAGTTCCCAGTGGTGCATGTTGTGTTTATGTAACTTCATAGATGAAATTGAGCTTTGTCTGTCATATGAAGATAGTGGTGTTTACTATTGCATTGTATGATGCTTCTGATGAGGTATTTACAAAAATTAATTCTTGAAGCTACAGGTTTCTGATGGTAATGCACCAATATAAGCTCATTCTAATATGGTATGTCCCTGGTGCTTATCTAAGCATCACTTCATGCAGGTTTGTTGTGGAGTGGAAGTATGGCTTTACGTATTCTTAACCCCATTGTTAGATGTTCAGTTTCATGGCCTGATTGCTTTAATCCTGTGGATAGAACCCTGATAACCCAATGGATAGGCCCCAGACCTGGGCTCCTCATTGTCTGGAAGAGAGAAATCCTGCTTTGAGGGTTTCAAACACCAGTCATTCAGCCTTTAATCTAGTCACTGAGTGGACTGAGCTATTCTGGCTTCTTCCTGGTATAGTATATAGGAGTTAACATTTAATAAATGTGTGGAAAATATGGTCTAATAGCAGTGGGAATTTGTGGCATAAAGTACTGGGTAAAGACTAAGAGATAGAAGTGAGACTATAATGTACCAAAATTTGATAGTGCATGTATAGGCAAAGAAAAGTAATGCCCATGTTGTAATTTTTAGAACTTGCAGTAAGTGGATATTTCATTGTTGATCTCTCCAAAGTGTTATTCATACTGTAGAAAACTAGTGTGATTCTCCCTCAAAAGTCAAGCCCTTTGTCATTGTGTCTTCTACATTTATGATTCTAATTTACATGTGGTCACACATCCCCACTGTGTGTGTGTGGGTTTTTTTTTCAGATGTGAAAGCAAGCTCTCCAAAAATAGGATTCATTGGACTTGGTAATATGGGACGTCCAATGGCTCAGAATGTTCTTGCTAAGGTAATTACAGCATGAGAACTAACATATAAATTGTGTTATAAAAACTATTCGAATAAAACACAGTCTGATGCAACTAATTAATGTTACTTAATGGTCTTCACTTAAGACAACTTGTTTTGGAAATTATATTTCCATTATCAGGTCAAAGAAATAAATATCTGTAAGATCAGACTTACAGCTTGAAAGTTAGTAGCAACTGCAGATTATTATAGTACAAGAATACACACAATTTAAGTGAATATTTAGAGTGATAAGTAAGATGGCATGCTGGATACCACTGTTTCTCACTTGGGATGTGTGAGATTGAATCCTGAATCAGTGAGGGTGTCTTATTTTCAAATTACTAGGGCATGTCAGTTGTACAATATCTCTTTTTCTCTCCTCTCTCTCTCTTTTCTTCTTCCTTCCTTTTTTTTCCCATGCCAATATCAGGACAGTTATTATCACAGTTGTAATTCTTTTTAACAAGTGAATACAATTGTTTAGCTTATCACCCCCTGCAGTTGCAGTTTGTACACCACTTTCTTTACATCTTGCATATCTGTTTGTGGAGCAGTAAAATAGACAGTATTAAAATGGTGCAAGAGTAGTTCCAAACTTTTTATAGACACATGTATGATCATACTACTTCCATCATCCCACAGCTATGTATTTTTTCAGTATATGACAAAAAACAAATGAACACATTGGATGATGTGTTGCTCTGTAGTCTTGTAGGAGGTTACCATTGTTTTGGTGGAACATATTGCTTTTATCTTCAAAGTTGGTGACATCCCATTAGGTTTTCCTTTATTGACTGTGTTACATGTGCATCATATTAGAGTACCAGTAACTGTTAACTTTTATCTTATGACAACAAGGGATTTAAATGCCCATAATACAGGGCAGCTGGCTGGACTTTGACTGTGAGGATTAAGAGTTCAACAATACGCTACTGTGACACATGATCATCTGGAGCATGCATGTAAGATGCGGCACATGGACAATAAAGATTAAACTCGTAGTTAATGTCTGGCCAGCATTTACAGTATTTTAAATTTCCTATTATTGCAAAATAAATGCTAATTTTCACATATGTTTATTGATGTTATGTTAGTAGGTATCCTACAATAAACATTTTAAGCCTCTCCCTTCTGTTTAATTTTAGTACCATGATTTGTTGGTTTATGATGTTCACCATGAAGCAGTGGAATCGTTAAATGAACTGGGAGCTACAGTATCACAAAGTCCAAAGGATGTTGCAGCACAGGTTGACTACATTATTACAATGTTACCAAATAATGCATGTGTTCTGGAAGTATATCAGGGAGAAAATGGTATCTTAAAGTAAGTAACATTAAACACAAGATAGTAACAAAAGTGACTGGGATGTGAGAAACGGCCAATAATAAGTAACAAAAGTATGTCTGATATTTTGAAAAGTTGGTAATGAATGGCCTGTAACAGCAAGAATTTTTAGACATTTGCAGGGTGATCCATTACGACACTATAACTTCGTGACTAATAACACGATTGAAATAAATGTGGTCTCGTTCGATCGGGTATACGACTACGATGCGAGCATGACCTTGAGTTGGCGCCGCGCGAGGCGCGGGTGGGGGCCATTTTGGGCGTGGGCGAAAATTTCCGGGCAGTATATCTCGCGACTCCGATGTGCTTGCTCGCTGATTTTGGTGCCAAACCAAAGATCTCGTCTAGATCTGTCGATTTAAGCCATAAAAAGTGAACTTTATAAAATATTTGTTGGTGACAAATCAAAAATAAGTCGTGAAAAATTTAAACTTTCTGATGTCGGCCCATACTCACCGAAAAGCCCAGAGGAAATACAAGCAACGCATCTCATCGGAAAGGGCGTCTAATCAGCCATCGATCAGTGGCTGAACGAGTGAGATGGCTTCGGGAACGTCGGAAAGTCGACGCGGCGCGAGCAAGACTGTATATTTGTTATGCTAAATAAAAGCCATGTATCCATTTCGTTACTTTCATTTCATTCCCATATCCCAAAGAAAATATTCCCCGCAAACGCAGACGTATTCACGTAAAACCCACGGCCGTGTCCCCGACACAGCCAGCCCCCCGATTTTTTATAAATATTTTAAATTCAAAAGCTGATTCTACACTCATATAGATCCTTTAAATTGGAGATGTGAACCACCTTGGATTATTTCCAATTTTAGATTATTTTATTTTATGAAATACAATACTTCCATTTTGTCAAGTTGTTGATGTTCTGTTTTTCTAGGATATGTTTTTCTTTAAGATAGAACACTTCCTGGATATACTATGTGTTTTCAATTTTGTTGAGATTAAAAACATCATAAAGTGAGTAGAGTTTGATTGGCATTACTTCTTGACAGTTTGATTGGATGGTTGACAGTTTGCAGTGCCTAAGCTGGCATCTTTGATACACGTACATGTTTGAAATTGGATTCCCATAGTTCACTGTCACAAAATAAAATACTGTAACATCTTTGGACTGATCTGACAATTCAACTTTCTTTATTTAGGAAATTTTCAATGAGGGAAGCACAAATATTCCCTTCAGTATTAAAAAAGCATGCTTCACTAAAAGTCTTTCCCTTTATGTACCATACAAAGAATTCCACCCTCCATTTTTTATAGTTTTTTTTAAGTTCAATTAATATAATTTGGTTAACACTGCAGTAGTTCCTCTAACACTTCTTCCAGGCATCTGTAAATAGTGCTAGTGTTGCCATCTTAAAATAATTGGCAACAAAAACAATGCATAAAATTCTGGCTGCATCACAGTACACTCATGTTTTTTTTAATAGACCTAATTACTCTTAAAAACCAAAATACGATATTGAAACGTTCTTAGTTGGCATTTTCTGTATGATTCTGATCTGCAAATCTAAATTTTGTGTTGGTCAGTGGAACTCTTTTACTGTTCTTACATATATAAATGCCCCATGAAAGATTTTTTGCCATTCTGATCATGTGTTGTATGAATGGTAATAATAAGCAGACAACCAAATGACAGCTTTTTGTGTTGTGAACTTGAAAATATTGCCTCAGTATGTCTTTCGTATGATGGATCTTCTGCATGTGTATTACATAAGGTCCCAGAAGACTTCTTTTAAAAAATATATAATATCCCTTTAAGTGTGATTTCAGATTAATTGCATGCATAACAATCAATGGAGATATGAATTTGCCCAACATATTCCATCACCTTTTAACCATTGTCATATCATAATAAGTGATTTAAACCCCTTCTTGCTGGACTTTAATTCTGGGGTTGGTGGTCAAGTAGTATGCAAGTGATGCATGTAAGCTGTGACTTGCCAACTATAAAGGTTAACATATGACTTTTACAACTCACAGCTCAGAAAACATTAGCTGCATGGTATGTAAAGGCTAACAAAGAAATCCACAGCCTAAATTTTTACCAGCAGTTTATCTACAATTGGCAAATGTCTGTCTATTCTTAATGTCAGTGGCTGTTGGAACAGTCCATTAAATGAAAAGCTGTGGAGAGCAAAAAAATGTATCTTGGGAAGAGAAATTTATTAAATGTGATAGCATAAGCCATTGAAAAATTTTATAATCTGAAACAGCAATGCCAACATGATGATTGTCCCTGCTTCTAATGTAAGAACAACATTATTGTTATTTATTTTTGGATTCTGAGCATTTTTATGATGATAGATCTTGAAAATATGTAATTTTTGTTAACTTAATTTCTTTATAGAATGTAAAATAACAGTGTTGACACAAACTTTCATTTAAAAGTACTAGTTTATAAAACATGCCTGCCTTGTGAAATTTGATATGATTGTATATCATAAGCAAAGTTGTGAATTTTTTAAGAAAATGTTTTATCCATAAATTGTCCAATGTGAGTGAACTTTTGTGTTGAAAACTACAGACATGGCAACATCATAGCATTTTAGGCAGAGGATGTCCATTGTACTTGTTAAAATAATGTGTGCAAATGCTTGTGCTTGCACGCACAAACACACACCATCACAGGTTGTCATTCAGTTTATGTATTGAGCTGTAGAATATGTCAAGAGAAGAGTAGGAGAATGCTTTTCTAAAAAGCTCTTTGTCTGTAGATATATGCTATGCATTTTTATATTTCTGCACATCAGGTCTGTGAAGAAAGGTGCTCTACTGATAGACAGCAGTACGGTTGATCCAGATGTGTCGAAGGCAGTGGCAGCGACAGCAGAAGCTCAGGGAGTTATGTTCTTAGACGCACCAGTGTCAGGAGGTGAGATATTGGTACAGTAATAAATCATTTGTACTCCCAATTTATATCCATATTCTCAGGAAGGAAAATTGGGCTTTGAAAAGTTTTTACCAAAATGAGTGTAGAAGGATGTCTTTTCAGGTTGTAATTTAGGAATTACTAAGATTTGTGCTATATGAGAATATTGTTTTGCTAGTTTAAACCCATAAACTGTTGTGCAGTAATATAGGAAACTGAAAATAAACATGTTGGATGTATTATAACTATATCTGGTAGACAAATTAAAGTACTGATCAGGTATGGAATAGGAGTAAACAAGTGCTGAAGTCACTTTTTGCATAGCATTTACTTGAAGAGACTGAGGAAAACCATAAAGTTCTCAGAGAGGGCAGCCAGTCTCTCAGCAAAAATCTGAACCCAGGAAGAAACAGAGTGTTGTTAACCTTTCAGTTGTGACATCCAGTAAATAATAAAGTTATTGTTGTTATAGTTACTGTTAAACATTGCAGTGCAACCCTCTAGAGCCTCAGCATGCATCATGATAGCATTTTGTTAGGTCACCACTTCTTCCATCCACATCTTTCCATTTTATTGATCATCCCAAAATTTGATGCTGCATAAGCTAAGCTATTGTCAGTGTCTGTAGAAGAATAGAAGATTACCAGAATTTTAGGTTTCCACTGTGATGTGAAAGATCATTATCAACCAAGTTTTTGCACCATGTAGTCTTTTGGAGGAACATGCTGCCTCCATCTTCATGGAACATGTTAGAATTAGAAAATGGATGTATCTATAGAGTTATGAGGAAGATGAGGCTAGTAGTATTGGCCAATCAAGACACAGGATAAGGAGAGGAAGGCCAATAGGAAAGAGTCCTTACATGGCATCAGAGAGAAAGTCTGGATCGGGAGAGAGAAAACATTGAAACCAGGATGTTTTCTGTCAGTACAACGTGGAAACCTGTTATACACACCCTGAAAGAGTAGAAGACAGTTGTCTCCAAGATCAAGACATCCTGTTGAGTCTGCCTTCCATTCTGAGTTCTTAAAGGTTCTTTCTCTCCTGTCTCATACTTCTGTCTAGTGCCCTAAAAGGGCTCTTTGTGAATGGTCTAGACTGCTCCATCTCTCTGCCTTATCCCATGGGTCAAGCCCTGAGATTCTCAAACAATGTTTGCCACCAGATGGACCACCTGAGTCAGGAAGGAGGCTCAGGGTTTCTTCATTCTATTGCTGCATTTAACTATGCTAAAGAAAAAGTTTATATTCTTACTCTGCCACATTCCATAAGGGAACTACAAGACAGAATCCATGATGCAGTAATGAGTGTCAATGAAGTTATCCTCCATAGAACATGTGACAAGATTGCATTTGGTTGGGACAAGTCCGACATCACCTGTGGAAGCCACATTGAGCACCTATAAACAAAAATTTAATGTTGGGCCACTGCTGCAGTGCAGTTAGTTTTCCAATATGTGACCTTAATGAAAAGTTACAAGCCTTTTAAATTGTACTTTAATTTGTGGTCATGATATACATGTATGTTGGTAAATTTTGTATTGAATATTTGTTGTGTGTTAAGTAGTAGGAATGTGATAGTAATTTTAAGTTGGGTATTCTGGGATGTAGTCATATGGAAATTGATGGTTGTTTCAAAGGTGCTTACTGTCTCCATCATCAGGCTGATAAGGCAGTTAGTACCTCTGAAACTTAAGTAGATTTGCCATAGGACTGTTTTTAGGCCTGGATTGTGCCATTTAATTCTCATAAGGATGTCAGTTATTTCCACTGGTTTCCCAAGGATCCATGCCACCATTCTTTGGAGTTTCAGAAGCAAGTCACTTTGCACAACTTGCATTCTGGCTCCCTCCCAGGGGCTTAGACTTGGAATAACCCATGATTGGCTTGTTCATCAGCACATGTGTCATGTTCTGCCCCACCTGACAGGAAGTTGTCAGGAAGCTCATCAGTTTGCCCAGCCTGTCTGCAGTGATGCCCAACCACAGTTTGTGATGGACAACTTTCAACAAACTCTCAACCACCTGAGCATAGCTGGTGGACCAACAGCCAGAGACCCTGGGTCTCCTCTTCTCCTAGCCTGCTGATGGCAGGGTATATCCAACTGTGGTCATTTACTGACTGGGGCAACAAAACCACCTTCACTATTCCCAGCTGGTTCTGCTCCAGTCCTCTTCCTGGCCCACTTCTTCAGTAAGCCAGTCCAATTCTTTCCTGTGATGGTCAGGTTGCTCACCCCCATAAAGAAATCTCTCACCTTCAGTGGGTCATTCAACCAGAGACCTGAGAGATTTTCGCTGCTTCTCAGCAGCAGGAGATTACCCTGGCTAACATCAACCAGACTACACAGGGCAGCAGGAGATTATCCTGGCTAACATCAACCAGACTACACAGCGCAACAATCCAGAAGACAGGAATCTTAATACCCAGAGTTTCAACATTTCCCATCCATATGTTGGTTTCTCAACTTTGTCTACCATACAAGGCCATCTGTTTGCTAAAAGGGCTGACTGTTGAGAAATTACAAAGCCTAATGCTTTTCAATTTGAGAAAATAGATAGTTTCTTTGTTTTTATATTACTGCTTTGGGTCCTCTTTATCACTGAACATTTTCATATAAAAGTAAAACAAGAGTGGAAAGATTCATGAATACTGTGAGACCAAACTTCTCAAAAATACCTCATACAAAAGGACAAGTGTATGTCTGCCATGAGATCACTGACCCTATTTTAAACATATTTTAAGGTTTCATACATTTAATTAGGAAAACATGTAAATTTGATAAATACATACCAATCTAACTGGATGATTCAGCTTGTAGTCCTTTGTTATAAATATGTGTTTATGAAAGTTTTTTATAAAAAAATGTTGAAATGAGACAGAGTTCAAAGATTGAAGGATGTGATGGTAGACATTGTTTGTTGCCCATGAAGTAGTTTTCATTTCACCCACATCTTTATGTGTGTGTATTTATTTATATAATGCTTAATAAGAACTCAAAACTGATTGTAGGTGTAAATGCTGCAAGATTAGGTCAGTTGACATTTATGGTGGGAGGACCATCAGAAGTGTTTCCTGTAGCACAAGATCTTCTCTTCACAATGGGTGCAAGAGTTGTTCACTGTGGTCCAGTGGGATCTGGTCAGGCTACCAAGATCTGCAACAATATGCTGCTAGGAATTAGCATGATAGGTACATCAGAAGCAATGACTCTTGGAATTAGGTGAGCATATGGTTACTGATATAGGTTTGACCCTTATAATAATTACCCCTAACAGTATGCACACAATTAATTGTACAGAAATCAGAGAAAAGAATGCTTTGGCTAGTAAGGAATAATTTCATGACCAGTAGCTGTATTTCATTTACTGAAATTGGTACAGTATTATCCTAGTTCTAATAGTGTTGGAAGAGATTGAGAGATTCTCTTATTGTGGGACATGAATAAGTTTATATTACAGCATCAGGAATTTTGTTTGAAACTTATGTGAAGTGTAATTCCACTAGAAAGAGTCAAAACAAAATTCAGAAGAAAGTTTCATAGGGTTCAAGTTCATAGTTCTCAGAAACTTTGTGTATAATCATGTCAGATCAAATAAGAACTGCATTTTATTAATAGACAGGAAACAAAAATATAAACAATCAAGTAGTTGCAGAAATTTTTTTGATGATATCAGAACTTGGCTTGAACGATCACCTTGTAAGTCCGTTAAACGCCTCACACAAGAAACGGATAACAAAAGGCACCACTGAAACTACTTCAAAGTTATTGCTGTCTCTTCAGCCACATGACTCATTAGCCAGACTTCATCTCTGTAGAGGCCGAGCGAGAAGTGCTGGCACTTGTGCAAAGAACTGATTTTGGTCGTATGAGATGGACCCATCCGAAGCATGCACTAGAGGGGTGTCAGCTTCAGTTGGTTTGTAGCTCTAGCTGTGTTTAGATCAGTGTGTCATCTGCTATAAGCAAACTAAAAACATTGCTCTACTCGGTGTTTTGCTGTTCATTGCCGGTATAAAAGTTTCAACGTTGTTAGATACGTATATTTTATTCATTTATCCATTTATTTGTATTGACAGTCTTTTGGCAAGACATGGGCATGTTGCACTTCATTTGCCACCCTACCACCCATAACTAAATCCCATTGAAAAAATGTGGGCAATGGTTAAAAACTGGGTGGCGATGAAGACATCATGTTCAAATTGCAAGACGTTCAAAAACTGGCAGAAGAAAAATTCTCCTTCATTACTAAAGAAGAGTGGTTGCCCGTATGTAAATGCTTACAAGAAGTGGAGGAGAAATACATGCAAAATGAATATTGTTGAGGAATTGGTTGTCAGACATGAATAAAAAGGGTGAAGAAACCAGTTTCAAGGGAATACTGCCTCTTTTGTCAAATTCCAAGTCAAGCAGTGATGCAGAATATCTGTCTTTACTATAATTTAAAAATTATAAAATGTGTATTAATATTGTGTTTGTAGATTGGGTCTTGATCCCAAGGTCCTGATGAATATAGTCAATTCTAGTTCTGGGCGCTGCTGGTCATCTGAAGTTTACAGTCCTGTTCCTGGCACTATGAACAATGTACCCAGTTCAAATGATTATAAGGTAATATTTTGTATAATGTTATGTAACTTCATCATCAGTGGCTCTACAACCTGGTGAAGGTCTTGGCCACCTCTACGGAGGTTTCTTGGTCTTTGAAGCGTGCATTTGTGAGTAGTGAGTGACCAGCCCACTGACACTGCACTATTTCTACTCAATCCCGATTTGACTGCCAGAGCAACTTTATGTAACTTGATGAATTACAATTATTTGTACACAGTGGCAATAAAATATTTTTGTGTTGTTTTCTATTTGTCAATGCATTTACTCTTGTGCCTGGACAATTCAGCAGGCTTTCTTTGTATTTGTTTTTGTGTTGTGTGCCAGTATAATGTCAAGTGTAATCTTCGTTTTGAATATTAAGAACACCACCATGAGTATTGAAACACAAAATGGTAATTATCCAAAATTGCTTTAATTATATTGATTAAATTTCACTCATTTAGAAAGAGTTCCATTACGAGTAATACGGAAGGGCCATATTTATTCACCACATTTCATACATATATATACATAACACAAGAGATGTCGAGAAACAGTTTGCTAGTTGAAAGATCCATTCATACAGTTTCTATATGAGCACTGCTTGTACCTTCCAAAATGTCCAAGTTATGACCTGCTTCATGCCAACTGTCATAGAAGAAGGTACATCTCTGGTCTGGATATATAGTTTGTTTAGAGATGTTATTTGAATAATTTGTTGTTTTACAGAACTCAGAGGGAAAACTCTAGGGGAGCTGTGAGGCGCATGAATTTGGTCCATTCTACCCAATCCTTAATAATGAAAAAATTGAATTAAGAAATTCTGACACTGCTAAGCTCCACTCCGGTGGTGTGCTGTCTTTCTGAAAGAAAATGTTTGTTTGATGGGGAGCCGTAATTTAAGCTTATCCAAGTAATTTGAACTGTCTTCTCTTGGATGAAGAAGGGACTAAGGGCACATCACCTATTCACCTTCAGGCTGTTGCAAATGACATGTGGTGTAATTCATCACTGAAAAGAATGTTCAGGAAGCTGTTTTCATTGTTACTCTTTATGAGCTTATTCAGAGCAAATTATTTTTGATACAGTTTATTCTCTGGTTCCAGTGCTTGTACTATCTGGATTTTTATGCATTCATTGGAGAATTTCCTGGATGGTTGTCTGGTAGCACAACAGATGGGAGCTGCACTGAAAAACCTCAGAAACTCTGTTAACAATGTCAGTGTGTACAGAAGGTCTACCTGTGCCCTTCTTGTTTACAACAATGGCTGTCTCCTTAATCTGTTCTGACCAGCATTTAATGGACAGTCCTCAAGACACTTGTATTCCATATTCCAGACAGTAACATCTTTGCACTCTTTCACAGAGTTTAGCTACCGGCACCACAAAACACCTACAGCTTTCTGCTGCAGTGATGTGATTTTGCATTTATTTGCGATGTTTGTTCAGTAGCATCACTACGAGGTACACCGTACACTTCCATCAAACTGTTTAAGCAGGTCACTACGAGGTACGCTGTACACTTCCATCAAACTGTTTAAGCAGTTCTTTTAAACATAGCACATATACTGTTTCTTGACATCTCTTTTACTTTATTTTATGATCATTTGTAATGTGTTGAATATATTATGGTCACGCTATATTGTGCTCTGTATGGAGTCTCAGCTTGATTTTTTCAATGTCTATAATGAATATTAGCCCCACTTAAAGGTACCTGCACCTTGTCGTGGTGGTGGGGCTTGAGTACCTCTGTGATCCCAAGAGCAATGCTGGCGGTAGCATAGCTACTAGTAGGGCCTCCCTAGCCAGATTGGTCGAGGGGGAGAGGTCAGACTAAGACAGGTACCCTGGTCCTCCAGGTTGGGGGTTGGTCGCAAGGCTAACAACCTTGCACCGTAAAAAGGAAGATGTTTCGAAACCTCAATCAAAGCCTCGGACAGACGGACATAACAGAGGACCGAATGGAAGAGGAGAATTGAGGAGGCCATGGACTGAATACGGACTGGAGAGCCCTACAAGAAGAAGACAATGAATATTAGAATGTGCAATTTATTTTACATATTTGATTACTTAGCAACAATACTTACTTTTAAGACAGTAGAGTGAAATGTTAAATTTGAATATCAAATTATCCAAAGAAAGTGCTTTCTAAAGCATAGAGATGCTGAAAGTGTAAAGGTAATACAGCAGTAGACACTTAATCTGGTCTTCTTTCTGTATGTGGTCACATTTCAGATATCAAATGTAACTCTCAGTATAATAGCATTTGTCAGCTGATGGCATAGTGTTACATTTGTACTTGTATCATTTTGACTGTGTTCACATTTATACTAAGTATGTTACTGTTCTGAAAATTCTCTTTGGTTAACAGGGAGGATTTGGTACAAAACTAATGGCAAAAGACCTGGGTCTTGCACAGGAAGCTGCTGCTAGAACAACTACCCCAACTCCTCTGGGGTCTTTAGCTTATGAATTATACTGCACCATGGTGGATAGTGGATTTGCTGATAAGGACTTCTCATCTGTATATCAGTTCCTAACAAGAAAGAAAGTGACCATTATTATTGGGCTTCCATATTCTAAGATGATCCAATAAAAGGCCCAGCATTGCATAATATGTTTTGCAACTATAACAAGTTGATATATTTCCACGTTAAACATTAATTAAAACATCAGGAATAAAATGCCATAGATTGTTCAAGCGTGTGTTTCATGCATGGGAATGTGTTTGTCAGCCTCTGAGTTGTGTTTAAAATCAGAATATTTCTATGCATTACAGTTACAAAGTAATAATCAATACAAATTCAACTATTTCACAAACAGATTATATATTTGAACAAGTTAGTTAGATAAAGATTTGGATTAAAGTGCTTTTATATAAGAACAGTATTTACCAAACAATTTTAGGAAAATAATAATTGTACAATGATCTTTTCACATTGTTAATTAAATGATCTCTGGGTATGTCCTTATATATTACAGGACATTAAACTTTTAATTAAATTTCTGTGTCCCTTCACATTTCACATATTTTCACTAGAAGGATTGCTTTCCCTTTGTTCTGGTTCCCCTGTTCTGGGCGTACATTGCAGTTGGGACCAGTCATTTTACATATCCAAGTTTTTATACGTGCACACACAAGTTTATCTTACGTATCAGCATATTTTATTTAGATACTGAATTTTCGTTGTAACATTTATGGCAGACAACACCTAAAGTGGAAATGTCTTAGGAGGAGGAAGAAGAAGATTGACATTTAAGGGTTAGGACAAACATTTTAATTTTCTTGGAAAGTGGTTTATATTACAATGTCAACAAAACCTGTAACTGTTTAGGGCAGTTATGTTAAAATAATAATACAAAGGAACATATTTGCTGTCCCCATTTAGTTTGACTAATATGTATTTTGTCTTACTTTTTATTTGTATTATTTCTTTTTATATGTTATGGCAGTGGATTATAGTTTGTTCAATAAAATGTATGTTTAAATGAAGCAGTAATAATTTTTTAATTATGTTATTGTTGGGGAATGGTTAGGTTGCATACATTGCAGTTGATAGTCTGTCTAGTTCAGAATCTGGTTCTCCAGCTTGGGGAGTTGGGTGGGGTTGTCTTGCTGGAGGTTGGGCTGTAGTGTCGTAATAAATCGGCCGTGAAAGAACACAGCACAAATGTGGGCCATCACATCCAGCTGCAGGACACCAGTATTCTGGCCAACAAATCCAGACATGGACCAAGCTGCATCCCAGTTATGTGAACAGGGAAGATGGCTTCTCTTGAGCAAGTCATGGAATCCTCTCATTTGTGCTGTGAAGAAATCTCACCAGGGACATGGCACACTTCCGTTCAGCCCTTCTCTGTTCATGGTCCTTATTAGGGCCTTGCTTAATAGTTGTCCTTTGTATTCTCTTTTTAGGCCCCTTCTGTCGACTGTCTTCAGACCCCCACCCCTATATCCATTAGCCTTCATTTCCCCTCTGGCTTATTGATGGGTTGTTCATGATTGAGTCATTCCAAGTGAACTCCCTCCTCAGACCTGGGAATTATCTGCTCATTGAAGGACAGCGAGTTGTTCCTTCATGAACTATCTATGATACAGCACCAGCTCCTAGAGATGTGTGAAAGAAGGACAGCGAGTTGTTCCCTCATGAACTATCTATGAAACAGCACCAGCTCCTAGAGATGTGTGAAACTGAGAATCTGTAAAAATTTGGGAGCTTGGTGACTGATTACCTCCCCCCTTCCCAAATCTATTTTTAGTGAAAAAACTACAAACAACTATTAATATTTATTAAACCTTCAAAAAACTGTAGTTTTTAAAGCTTTTTTAGTTCATGGACAAATAATAGAGGGTTTCAGTTCAGGAGGGTCATATCCAGGAGCATATTCCACACTAAGTGTGTGGAGCTGAGGAACTTTGGAATTACTTCTTTACTGGAGCAAGCTTAAATGAACTAGCTGCAGCCAGTAAACTACCCAGACCCACAACTAATTTGGTTGCTTTTTCTTGTTCTCTTTCTCTCTACTGTGACCTAGCTTCTACATATTATAGGTCACCTTCGTCTGCAGGTTTGCTATAATTACTAGCTCAGTGTTGATGTGTCAGAACTGGATCCCAGGGAGGTGACATGGTAGTGAAGGTGGGTTTCTCACAACTGGCGAGTTCATGCCCCTGGTTGTCTTATCACCTTCCCTGGGTTGGCTGATACTGTCAGCTCCCCAATATGCCACAACTTCTGGTTCTGTGCTGAGAGGAATGAACTTTCAAATGGGGGTTTGAGTTAGAGGGCTCATTTGCATGGTTTCCGCCGTTTTATCCTTTATTACCGGTGTTCTATTTTTTGTCCCATGATAGCTGGGGAACAAGTTACCATCCCCAGCCCCATACGGGTGCAGAAATTTATACGAAAGGTGCTGCCCGGTGCCCAGAAGGGATCGTTAATGATACTACCATCATCGACCCAATATCATGCAGTCCTCGGCACGCTTCACACCTTGGCTTCGGTGGACCAGAGCCCTATTCTCCGTCCAAAGATGATATTTACCGTCACTGATGAATATTCTTGTACTACGTAATGCTCATATGCTTCGTCGTTCAGTTTTACACATTGATTTTACTGTTCATCTTCACTGGTCGGTTGTTATAAGTTCGGCTATTTTGATGAAAAATTATGTTTTAGAGTAAATTTTGATGCTTGGCACGTTAATACTATCCACTCATTACGTTTAAATACTTTTTATGTTGGTAGGAAAGCTTGCTTCATCGATTCATTAGAAGTGTGTTAAACTTTAAATCAACGCCATGACTCTTGTATACTGCTTCCCAATTCTCATTTCTTAGATGAGTTGTATATTCATTTTGCAGATCATTTATTGGTCTAATTTGTTTCCTGCAATTGTAACTACTGGCAATGAATGTAAAAGCAGCGAGGTCGAATATAATTCTTCTGGGTTGATGCGCCGTGTTTTCTGCTCTACTTCTACCAGATTATTCGCCACATCAGAACATTACTGTTTTATGTTATCACTAATGAGCATAATGAAACTTTGTGTATAGGATACATATAGAACAAACAATATAACTCTATGGGATTTTGGAAAGGCTGTTGAAGTTTCCCGTGAACTGAACTAGGAAAGTTTGCATTTTATACCCATTTTGGAAAATGATAGACCAAACATGGCGCTGAAGGTGGAATGATTTTTGTTATCAACTTGCCAAGAAAATTTAAATGGCGTCAGGTGGTGTCATTGTTAATTGTGCTGTTGTTTTGAAATTGATAGTTATTCATTTATGCACAATCACGAAAACTTAATATTTAAAACATCCATTGTTTTCGAAGAACGCATCCTGTGGCGAGTCACTTTCTTCGACGAGCCTTGGAAATACTTGGTAGGGCCTATGACTTGGCCAGCCACCTTCACACAATGCAAAATTACTAGTATTTGAGGAACATTACTGTGGAAATATTTAGTGGTCTAACAGTTTCAGTACAGCAAAAAATGGGCGGGTTTCTCTCAAAACTGAAGGTAAGTTTGTAATGTATATTTTTAATTTTAAGTAATATCGTAGATGGTTGCTAAATACGACTTACATTGCAGCAGAGCCGAATTTAGCTTCAAAATGTATATTTTACTTGCATTTTTGCAAAATATGCCGAAAATAAAAGCAGAATTTAGACTGTAGATTAGAAGTGTTCAGCACTGCACATATGAATTTACGTCATTAATGTAAAACGAGTGCTCAGTCATGTTGCTTGATTTATGCACATGTGTAAAATACCAGTTGGGTGTTTTTATCATAGGACTAAATGCTGTTGTTTCTGAGGGGAATTTTTACACATAGCAAGGATTTGTGACTGGTTATTGCTCGGTAGTGTAACTTTCCTTAGTTTGTCAAAAGAGCTACAGAGTACTGGACATTTGTTTCTAAGCAGGACTCAGCACATAACAAAACTGTTGTATTGAAGCATGTATGTTTTTCATTTATTGTAATGAATATGGATTCTTATACACATTGTCTTCTAGTTTACTCCACAATAGCCATCACACGGATTTAAATCTAGTGATGAATGGCACAATCCTCACTTATTTTCCAAATTCTTCAGTTAGTGCTGTCATTTAGTTATTTGCATTGTAGAGCTATATTATTTCTCTGCATAAATTGTTGTATATTCTCAGTTTCAAGTTGATTGATGAAGATTGCCAGAATTAGTCATAACATGGAATTCTGAATTTATTGTTTTGCAAAAAGAAATATGGAAATATGATTTCATAACAGAATACAACCATTAGGCTATACTAAGGGACCTTATGAACTGAATGGTAATTTTCTGTATTCCATTAAGAGCTTTGGGTTTGGGAATTGCTTCTAATTAGTTATCTGTCATAGTCTTCTTTTGCATTTTACTTTTTGTATATTATTATGCCTTTTGTAAGGAGATTTTCCACGGTATCATAAATTGTTGTTTCAGGTAGCAGTGTAAAACAAGGGTATTTTTGTCAGTTGTGGTTTGTTGGGCTGTGATTACATTTCATATTGTGGAGGATCATAATACCTCTGTCATCAAGGTAGAAGTGAGTGAATATGGGGTTATGAGTTGCTTAAAAATGACCTTTCTTAGAGAATGCCATTTTCAGATTCTCTGAGCCTTCTTTTTTTTTTTCTTATCCCTTACCATCATCATTTGTTTTCTGCATCCCAGTTGCCTACTCTTCCTGTACATGGTGGCCCTGTGAACATGTTTTTTTACTTTTAGTTTGACACCAGTAACTACTGAACATGAATTAAAATATTTTGAGAAAAACAATTAATCTGGTTGTATATTTAAGGTCAAAGGTCAGGATAAATATTATTGTGCCACAATATTATTAGTGGCGTACCAAAAGAAAGTTCCACTTTAGCTTTCATTTGCTAGAAGAATGAGCTCTTTGTCCTAGTTAGGACCAGAATTATAAGCATTTTAGTGAATCATAATATAGGGAGGGAAAACTTCTTATTTATCACTCATCAGAGTCTGTAGGCTTACAAAATTTCAATAAAATCCAAGGTGGTCATGCCATTTGCTATGTTGATTTGCCATGGAATAACTCTGTTGGCCTGTAGTTATAACAGTTGTAGTTTGTGTTTGTGGATGTTACACATACAGAATTTGATAATTGCTTTTAATGATTGTATTGAATGGTCTTGTATATTTGTTTTTGAATATTAAAACATATTTTATTTGTTCTTGCAGTCATTAGGGCTGCTGCAAACAAAATACCAGTTTAGCACACTGAAAATAAAAGTGTTAAGAAATAAGTCATAGTTGAAGTTTGTGTCTGATGTGCTTCTGAAATAATAATCCGTATCTTTCTCTTTTCAGAGGAAGAAGGCTGCTCTTGAGATTTTGGAGAGTCTGGAAAATGTAAGTGGATGAATTCTGTTTTGGATGTGCCATAGTTTTATTCTGTCGTAGCCTGACACTTGAACCTTGGCTTTTGTTCATCTGGCACAACAATTGATAAATAAAGTACCATTTTATTAAATCATAGACAGGTTGCCCATTAATTTTTACTTGTCTGTAAAAGCTCCAAAATAAAAATTAATTGTATGGGGTGTTGGTTTTGAGTCCATCACATTTTTTTTAAGTGTGAGCAAAGAACACTTCATGGGCATGGTCTGAACCAGCAGGGTTCTTTGTTTGAAAGTCTCTGCTTTGTCTCCCTTTGAGACTTTGTCTACAAAGCTTGCTCCCAAAAGTTTTGCCAGTCCCTCCTCCTCCCCCCCTCCTGCAATGTTTCCAGATTGCCACTGGACGTGGCCTTCCACCATCCTCCATCTTAGGCTAGATTACCATGGCCTTGGTAATGCTGAGACTACCTTTCATGGATTTGGTAACCCAGGGGGCAGGACACCATTGAGGTCTGCACCCTCTGAGGACAGCTTCTGAATATTCCCTTCAAGCTTGCTGCTACTGGTGATTACCTGGGTCTATCCTTGTTTCATGGGGTCTGACCCATTGCTTTGTGATACAGTGTTCCTTGCACACCTTTGCTTTCAGAATCTATAGATTTGCCCTTGTTGAGCTAATAGACACCCTAGGGGTTCCACCATCATGCCAGGGATGGCAAGGTTGGTTTGGAGCAAATTTGTTTGTAAAAGTTTTGGGGTGTTGTTAGCAGGTGCTCCCAGAGATGACAAGCCTGGATTGGCCTAAATCATGATGTTGGTCTTAGGGTGTTGTATGCTTATGCTGAAGTGTAAGGAACAGTAAGGACAGCTGTGGATTTTGAAATTGTACAGGGTCAGTACCTAGGAGAGGAAGTCTTGGTGCCAAGTCTGTAGAGCAGCAAATGCAGAGGGATAGGATCCAGTGGACAGAATCTTTAGGAAAGGCTAAGGTAGTAAAATACCTTGGATTTTTTCAATTAGGGGCAGGCCTCAGAGGTGGTCTCACTGCATGGGTGGCTGAACACCTGGAGGGCAGTCCCTGGGGTTGTCTGATCCATGGTGGTCACATCTTTGTGATGTTTAAACCAAGGCAGGGCAAAGCTATTGATTTTGAGTGCTTGGGTTTGCATGGCACAGGAAAGGAGGCCTCTGGAGGCAGAGCCCTTGGAGTGGCAAGTGCAAGGGCTTGACATCAGGGAGCAGACATTCTGGGGAAAAAATCTGAGTGTTATAGCCTAATGAATTGCAAGCCTACTTGGGTTGATGCATGGGTGTGTCCCATGGGGCACAGTCCTTGGAGCCAACCTAGCCCTCTGGGTGGCCCAGCTCCTTTGGGAAGGCCACATTGTTACCAATGCCTTGGTGATCTGATCTGATGTGGTGGAAAAACGGGTTTCCAACCCAACAAAGACTGGGCACAAGGTGGGGTGGGGGCAAAGCTACTGGTAGTAAGCCTTTTTGGTGGAGTCCGTAAGTGAGCAAGCCTAAGGGGAGCAGAGGCCTAGGTAGAAAGGGGCTTGTTAAGGCAAACCCTGGAGTGGCAGCCTTGGGGGTTAGGAACACTTGGGGTGCAACCTCTGGGTATTCTTTGCTGCTTTTGGAAGCCCTTTGGATTGCCTGGAGGCAGCTGGGGTAGCTCAGACAGTAAATTGACTGGCTATAGACTGGATGACCGGGGTTCATTCCCCGACAGGGACAGAGGATTTTTCCTCTAGCCTTTGCATCTTTGGCTCTGGGACATACCCGGCTTCCTATCCAGTGGGTACCAGAGTCCTTTCCCAGGGGTAAAGTGTGGTTGGGGCATGACTCTGACCACTCACTCCCATCTAGAATGAGTAGAAGCTATGCCTCTTCTCTTCCCCCCCTCAAGCACCTACATGGCATATAGTGGGACAGCTCTACTTTTAATTTCAGAGGCAGCTGACAGACAGACAAACTTGGATGGTCCCATACTGCATTCTTTGCTTTTGTCAAAGCATAAAGAACACTTGAACATGTTGGAAAGGTATTCTTTGGAGTATACTGTAATTCCAGAGATGTTCTTTATGCCACACACTGTTTAACTTGATCTTTCTAGAAGTATGTAAGAAATAGCACTGAATAATACGAGTGGCCTTCCATTTGCTGTCACAACTCTTTTAATGTATGCACATATTTATTATCTTAATTTGTAGAAGTAATACATTTACAGATTAGTTTACTTGTACCCATGGGAATGCAGTGTAGTAGAGTCTTGATTTTCTGACATAGATGGGACTGAAGGATGGCTGCATAATAAAAAATGTTGGATAATTTGAAGGACTAATGAAAAAGATGAGAGTAAATATCAACTAAATATGCAACTTAGTTCATGATATTAAATTACTAATAAAATAGAGTATGGCATCAAATGAAAAAAATTCACAAACAAAAACATTATTTAACCTAATATAAATTTGTAAGTGAAAGAGGTTATCTTTTGAAGAAATTAGCAAAGAGTATTTGCTTCTGAGCCTATTTCCTTTTTCTTTGCGGCAAGGTCACACCAACACTTGGATAGTAGTACATCTGTAACAACTGAGTACATAGAAGTAGGAGGTACATGGTGGGGAAGTGTGATTTATTCCGCTATATTGCTGAATTGACTGTAGATAAAATTAAGTGTTCTGATACAGTACATCAGATAAAAGGGAATGTTTGATAACTAGAGTTCATATAATTTTGAATCTACTGTATTTAATTTATTACGGAGCTCAGAATAGTAGGCATGTATGGGAAAGGAAGGAGGTGCAAAGCCCCTCGAGCAGCAAGTATGGGGGTTTAGCACTTGTGAGGAAGAAAACTGGTCATTGGCAACCCCATTTTGGAGCAAACTTTGGGCAAATGCCCTGGAGATTTCCCAAAGGAGTATAGGCCCCAGAAATGACATAGTGTCTTGGTTGGCCAATTCCCTGGTGGCTGTTCCAGAGGTCATCTGCCTGTGGCAGTGGAAGCCCTGGAGTTGTCTAAGCCCAGAAAGTTCAAAAGTATTGTTTTAAGAGCTTTTTTGGCTAATGCACTGGAGAGGAGGCGTAGAGGCTAAACCCACTGGAAAGGCAAGAGTAGTGGGCTTTACCCCAGGGAGGAAGCATGGCACACAAAGGACTGTGTGGTAAAGTGCCAGGGGTGACAAGCCTAGTTTGGAGCAATGCAGAATTATTCTCTTTGAAGATGTTTTAGAATTGTAATTATGTTGTGCTTAGGTAGGGTGAGTTAGGAGTTTTTGAAGGACAGTGCTAGATTATAGAAACTTTATTTTAAAATCTTTGTATAATTGAGATAAAAAGCATAAATGTTTTAGTTAGGGCAGCCTGAAAGAATGAGGCCGCTGTTGAGACTTTGGCATAGGTGGGAGGGTAACATTGAAAGGCCTTTTAATTAGGGTGTGAGAATGTGGTCTGGATTCATCTGGCTCATGAAAGGAACCTGTGGCAGTTTCTTGTGAAGATACTGTATTTTCATGTCCTGTAAAAATCAAAACATTTTAAGTTCAGCTTCTCAAAGAAGGATTTTGCTCTGTGGAGTTATATTCTTCAAGCTCTTTTTTAATGTGAGGATGTCTTTTGCTTTTGAAATGTTCATTGAGTCATAAATTAAATATATGGTTTTTGTTATTTTCAATATGTGATTTGTAGAGATACATTTTTGTAATGTCATTCCACAAGTACATATAAATTAACTTTGAGGTCATGGTATAAGGAGAGTGCAAAAGAATTTTGTGTATAATAATCGCTAATACATTCTCATTTAGCCTTTTAAAGCTGACATGTGTCTGAATATTATTTAAGAGTTCAGTCCATACTGAAAGAAAACACTTTACCTTGACAAAGATCAACTGATTAATCCTTTTCAAGGAAGTAATCGCTATTTACACTGAGAATCATATGAGATGTATAAATACAAAATATGTATTTATTGAGTGTTGAAGTAGGTGGGAAATATAATAGTTACATTTTGGATTCAAAGGGTAAAATGTGTAATGTTTGTGCTTTAGGAACAATAAGTAGTAGCTGTCAGTGTCATTACAGATTTTTGTTTTAGAATAAAAAATGCCTTTGCAAATGCTGTAAGTGTGAATGCTTGCACTGTTTTGTTGGTATTGACACATCAGCAAATGTGGGTGTTAAGCACTGGACTGCAAAATAAAATGAAACATAACCAGTAGCTGAGTGATTAAATAGAAAAGTTTGCAACACTAATTTTCAGTGGTAATTGTGGTTTCCATGCATGTATTATTTGCTTGTTTTCAGAGGATTAAATCAATTGAAGAAAATCGACTGCATACAGAACAGAGGCAACGAAAGATTGTGGGCCACCTGATCCTTTATTCAGTTGTTGTATATATTATTGCTGCAGCGATCTTTTACTTTCTGTGTTTTCCTGCGTCACTGCAAGATCAACTGTTTTACATTACGCCATTACTTGTATTTCCCATCATGTGAGTAAATGTTTATTGTATTTCAGTACTTTGCATCAGTTTGTTGTTACTACACTGAGAGGAATGCCAAGAATTTATTTCTGGTGCTGTATGACAGTTTGTCATACCATTTTTTTAAATGTCAGGATTCACAGTCTTGGAATTATGCTGGTGACAGTCATATGCGACAATTCATCATTTCCCCCTACCCCTAATTTGATGGAGCAGAGTCTTAGCGAAATGACTAGTCACTGTGCTAAAAAACTTATATTTATACATCCTTAGTGGCTTGTCAGTGCATTGCTTTCCCAATATGATATAAGCATGTCAGTCCTCTTTATTATATTGTGGAATAAGGGCAAGCAGTGGGTGAGCTAAGAGGCAGTCGGCCATTGGTTAGAGAAGAGAGTGGTTTTGAGAAGAGTTGTATTACTTGCAAAGGAGAATAAAAGGAGATTACTTAAAACTGTATTGAGCATTTTTCTTAGAGTGTTATCCTGTGTCATTGTGTATTTGCCACCTTAATGTTAAGGTTTCCTTGTTAAATTATGGATCTTCTTTACTGCACTTTCTGTGAACCCCAAGAGTTAAAAATAGTGCCCATTAGGTTGACAGTCCATCTACACAACCAGTTTTATGATTATAGTCTCCTGACTATAATCATAAAACTTGTTGTATAGTCTCATTGCGACTGTAATCATCAAACTTGTGTAGATTGACTGTCTGACCAGTGATGAACACACGACAGGATTGTTAAAATAGTGCCCATGTGCTGACCCTGGAACATGAAGCAATCAGTCACATACCATTGCATAAGCTGAGCTGAGTGGGCAGGTGCACTGTGACATTTCAATTTGCTGCTCAGCAGACTCCCACTTATGCAGCTGTTTACTATTCGCTTAATCACAGAGACATGTCACCATATAAAGTAAAATTAATTGTTGGTTAATAGTCTGATTTGTTAAGTGTACTCATGGTGCACTACATAGTCCTAATTTAAGAAATAATCAGCATTGCTTTGAATCTGCTGCATACTTGGCTTTTTTTACGGTCTGGCAAGGAAGGTGGTTTCTGTTGTGATGATTACTGCATTGTTTCTTGATCGTAATTGTAGGCCAGTATTTCTTTACCAGTCATGATTTTTTAAGACCTGTTAGGTTATGCACATCCAAAGAAGTAAGAAGCTACAGGAAAGCAGATTTATTTTGCCCTTATGTCAGCAGGCATAGAAGGTAGTTTAGAAAGTGATAGTTTTGGTGCATCATGAAATGAAGACAGAGTCACGAGTTATGAGACAGAGTTGGACAGGGAAACTGATCATAGAGATGGTGTTAGTATCCTATCAACACAAAAGACAGCTAATTTGGAATGGAACCAAATCATGAAGTTCAAGGACATTAAACCCTTTTATAATCATTTTCAATGACCATCCAATAATCATTTTATTGGAAGTATTGAAAAGACTGCTTTATTGTTCATAGATAGAACATTCTCTGAGGTGGTAGCAGGAAAAACCAATAAATTTTCTGCTTCTCCCAAAGAGAATCTTGTATATTTGATATCAAGTGCTGATGAAATTGAAGCATGCATTGGTGTATGTGAATTATAGTCTACCAATATTAGAATATTATTATGGGCACCACCATTGCAGTTGCAAGATAGCCACTTACACCAAGATGGCTTAAAATACCTCAACAATGAAGAACACAGGCCTGGACTCACCGATAATAATTAAATTTTACATTACAAAGCCAGATCAGCTTTAGATATTATAAATAAATCCAAAGATTATTGTTTTTCATCTCATGATCTGATAGTGAATGAGACAATGATTACTTTCAAGGGGAGATTTCATCTGGAGCAGTACATTCTAGGGAAACTAACAAGTGGAGCATGGAAGCCTTTGGTCTCAGATAACTGTAATGGTTATCTGTTGGTGTTGGATCTTTTGAGAATAGAAAGAAACCAAAGACATGGTTCTTTTGTTGAGGAAAGTGACAGCAAAATGACAGAAGAATGTGCAGGAAAATACTTTAAGTATAACTTATGAGATTGCGTTCAGAAAATAAAATCTGTGCTTGTGGAATTGCCAGTTTTGAAAGAAAAGACCAACCCAGTGAATTAAAGAATCCCAAATCTCTGAAATTGTAACTTGGGAATCATGTGAATTATAGCATGATGGTGTCACAGTTAATATGGCATGACAAATATGAGGTTCTGCTTTATACAAATCTTTATCTAAGATCTGATTATATACTGAAGAAGAAAGTAAGAAGTTTCAAAGAGAAACTCAAAATACCAGGCACTACAGTGACTTATTACACATGCAGTATGAAATGAGCGGATTTGGGTGACCGATTGCATGAATCATATGGTGTTGGTAGATCTAAAAAATGGTGGATGTTTGTTTTTCATTTTGTACAAAATGTGGATGTGAATGGTTTTATTTGACCTTTTATCTGCACATGGGAACAAGACAGCTGAGTTACAAAGAAAACTTACTGCATCAACTAATTGGAACCTTCATGCTCTGAGAGCATACAAGAAGAGAGAGAAGTTTGCAGACATAGCCTCTCCAGAATTGCTCCATTCAGAAAAAAAAATTACAGGTCATGCAAAAATGTGTGCGTAAGGGTATCATCAGGATGTGGAATTCAAACACTGTGATTTCCTGTTGTGCCATGTTGTCTGCTCTCTGAGCACCACAGTGAAAGGGGTGTCAAGATTCAAATTGAGGGTAAGTATAGAAATTATTTCTTTAGTGTCTCACAAATATTCTGTAAAATGCATCTACACAGTGTTTGAAAAGTAACTCCCTTTTTTTCATTTATGAATACCAGAAAAACTGTGTGAATGAGAAACTTTTATCTGATTATTGTACTTGTATTGTATTTTTGACATTTCTTACGCCTCCACATATCCACCCATAAATTTTCTCTTGCTGTTTATTTGAATGTATAAAAGCGTTAACAGTATCATGAGAGTGGGACAGTGTAGTTCTGTTTCACCAATTGCATACACTATTAATGGGACACGTGTATTTCAGTTCTTAAAGAGCTCCTAAAATTACAGGACTTAGACAGTGTAAATATAAATTGGAACAGCAAGTGTTTGAATGCAACCAGGAATGACTTAGCAGTCACATGAGGTGCAAACATGTCTGAACACACAGCAACATGTCAAGACAAATTCATCTCAGCCATGTTCATGTTTAGTAAGATTTGTCTGAGAAATGAATTCAGTCTTCAGTCTTGGTATCTTTTGATTACACATTATTATAATATTTAGTGAAGAATACAAATGGAGACCCCTCATTTATGTTCTTTTTCTGTCTTCCCAATATTTATTCTCTCTTAGGTCCAAGAGAGAGATTAATTTGTTTTTTATTTCTCTGGCAAGTATTAGTCTGCTCAACTTATTATATGTATAATTGTTTCAGAGTTGTTATTGTCAAACGCCTAGTGACATGGTATTACAGACGCAAATTGACCCGCAACCAGGAGAAACTGCATGACATGAGGGAAGAGAAAAAAAAACTTTTAGAGGATGTAATGGACAAGGAGACATACAAAGTTGCCAAAGAGATTTTGGAAAAGTTTGCTCCAGACCATTTAAGGAAGTCATCCGTGAGTTTAAGAGTCCACTTAGCTGGTTTGTAAATACCAGTCCTGACAAAGAAAGTGATGTTACTTAAATTCAGTTATTTATATGTACATGTCTTTCATACTCTTCTTCCATTATGCAGACATTTCTTTTTTCCTGTTATACTTGTTTCATTACTATGTAAAATTATATATACAAACTGTTATACAATATACAGGGTAAGTCAAAAGTAGCTGCACAACTTTGGAGAACTGTAACCAACTGTAACTGCAGCCAAAATGTGCTGATATCAGCAGATATCTGTAGAGCGTAACCTCAAGTTTCGTTTGTTTATTGTATTCTTCACATTGCCGCTGAGAGCGCTTGTGAATTGTGGAAAAGAAAATGGAGACTTATAGTGGCGAGGAAAGAGCACAATGTGTGTTCTGGTTTGAACAAACGAAGAATGCAACTCAATTTCAGCAAGATGGTGCACCTCTTCACGTCCATACAGATGCCAGAGCATGCTTGGACCCCCACTTCCCAGGTCGGTGAATTAGGCAAGCAGGTCCAATCTTTTGGCCACCTCCTTCACCGGATCTCACACCAGCAGATTTTTTTCCTGTGGGGATACATTAAGGATAATGTTTACCACCCACCCTTACCCAACGATCATAGAGAATTACAGAAGAGGATTCGTTTGTTCGAAAACTTTATTTTTATTGTAAAGAACTTGATGTTTACATTGATGCACTACTTTGTCTTCTAATACCTCATAAAATTGTTATATTACATAAAGGTAAGCTGTCTGAATTTGATGAATGTTTTCATCCACAGAGTATGGGCATGCCAACAAGACTGAGTGGATCTCCAGACCTGTCTGTCAGTAAGAAATCTACCTCATCTGTATTTGAAACTAGTTCTTCACAGTCATTATTACGTCCAGCCATCACTACTGCTAGTTCTGGTGTCAGTCTTACTCCAGGGACTGAAGTAAGGAGACGATCACTGAAGCAACCTCCAGGACCTGCATGGCCACCAGTACCAAGGGACTTGTCTGTGTCTGTCACATCAAGCCAAACAAATGGACAAGGCTTTGTTCAGCGTAAGTATCTATTCATTTTGAAAAAAGAAATAACCAGTGAAATGAATGTGATTATGATTTTGGCTACTTCTGTGTTCCACGAATGTATGACAGTATTTATATTACTTCACAAGCATATGCATGGTCCTGAAACTCTCTCTCCATGTGATGAAATGGTGACTGCTCTCCTGATTTATTATATAATATTCAGCATATATTGTTTTTTAATTTTTTATTAAATCCTATAATTCCAAAGTATAACTTCTTTTGTTCAGTGTTTTGAACATTATTGGTATTATCAGTAATATCCTTACACAGTGAATTCCTCAAATGACTGAGTTGTCCTACCCTTTTGTCATATATCACATCCATCTGAATACTGATGATATCATTGCCCATGCTGTTGTCTACTAGTAATCATGAAAACTATTTCTGACGCAGTTCATCAGTGGCTTATGTGTGAAGGCAATACATACATGAGTTTTCTTGCGTATTTGCAAAGCTCTGTTTCATAGGACATTCAGAACTGGAAAGAATTCATAAATGTATAGTAATAAAATCCAGAGTTTCATATCTCATTTCACAGTAACATAAAATTTATTGCAGGTCCTGTTTTTCCCATGCCTCGGCCCATTCTGCCAAGGGATCGTAGCTATCTTGATAAGCTGGTGGAGTACTTAGTTGGTGATGGACCCAGTAATCGTTACGCATTGATCTGCAAACAGTGCGAGTCTCACAACGGCATGGCCCTTAAGGAGGAGTTTGAATACTTTGGTATGAAATTAAGTGTTTCATTCTAAATGTAAAAATAAATTAGGTGACAAAGGATACACAGAAACTTTTGAGACTCCATAAGTTCTTTGTTTTGTTTGGTATTGTTTTACCCCAAAACCATTCTTCTGTGTATGATATATTGTTGGTCATATGGTTTACTGTAGTTCATGTGTAAAATGTATCCACATTCTTATGGAGAAACTAAGGAGAACCATACAAATCATGTCAGTATGTGTATAGTTGGCTTTGATAAAGAGAGTTACATGGGCAGGGCTCGTAGCATGCATGGTAAAGATGAGAAATGTATACAGAATTTCAATCTGAAGCCCTGAAGGGAAGATGCCACTTTTCAGACCTTGACATAATTGTGAGGCTGATATTAGAACACATATAGGGTAGGAGGATGTGGACTAAATTCTTCTGACTCAGTACAGGGGTCCTTTGGTAGGCTCTTGTGAACATGGTAGTGAACCTTGAGATTCCATAAAAGGCAGGGAGTGTCTTGAGTAGTTGAGTGACTACTAGGTTATGAAGAAGGAACTTTCTCTATGAAATTAGATGGCATTGGTGTTCAGTGTATAGGACTGAATACACATCTATCTTACAGAATGGGATAGGAGTACAAAATAAGTGTTTGGCAGCCCAGTCTTGTGTATCCCTTTTAACAGTCATATCTGTATTTGGTTCAGAAACTGTTAGTCAAGTGTTTTCACATGATTAAAAACAGTTTGTGTTAATATGTATTGACCATTTATTGGTTGCACTTCCTGACAAATAGTTCCAAGAGACAGCCAAGTGATGTCAGTAGTTTTGTGTTTTTACCTCAGAGTCAAGTCACTTTGTTTATCATTCAGCTCATTTGTATGAGAATAAATTATTGAAGAGTCAGTTTCCTATATATTTACACATGTGATGTTAAGTACACTGGGTTTACAAAAGTATGATGAACTGGGTTAGCTCAGTCAGTATAGTGAGTGGCTACAGACTGGATGTCCAGGGTTTGATCCCTGGTGGAGGCAGAGGATTTTCCTCTATCCTCTGCATCCAGACTGGCTCTGGAGCCCACCCAGCCTTTATCCAAGGGTACTGGGGTCCTTTCCCTGGGGTAAAGCACAGCCAGGATATGACACTAACCACTCCACTCAAATGCCTACATGGCGTATAGTGGGACAGCTGTACGTTTAGTTTCACTAGCTGTATGTTGAATGAATTTCTGTGGCAGATTTCAAGGTAACAGTAATTCCCTTAACTCAATTCTATAAACATGCCAGCTTACTGATACAAATATATGTATCTGAATTATTTACTGGAAATATCCATTGACAGTTAAACTATTACATGCAATGGTGAAAGATACATTATAGTAACATTTTTGTATTTTTAGATCTATTATATTGTATATTTGCTCCTTTAATATATTATGTTGGTATTCACTGTTTAGCCTTCCGTTGTTGTTACTGCTTCTATTGGAATCCAGCACGAAAGCAGCGACCACAAGCACCTAGGCTTCCATCAAGTGCTGAAAGATTCGATCTACCTGGGCACACATCTGCCTCGGAGCTGGAAAGTGCCTCGGACACAGAAGAAGGTAAGTAAATCTGTAGTCCATTTGCAGCTATTCATCATGTTGTTGTCTCTACCTTTTTTTTTTTTTTCTGACAAGGACTAATGTTCGGCCTTGCAAGGTCTGATGGGCTCGGTGGATTAATTCTTTCCCATCCCACCTCTTATAAGGGTTACTAGAAGGGTAAATAGCAGGTTGATTCATAATATATTGTGTAGTTGCTGTGTGGTATACATCATCATGTAGAGAACATTGCAGGGAAGTTGTAAACATATAATCAGTGCTGAGTGGATGTCTTCGTACAAATTTACATGTGCAGAAGAACTGTACTATAAAGCTGTGATACTAATTTTAACCCGTATCAGCCATTCATCATGCCTTTACATTCAGTCCAACTGGCTATGCTTCAAGTAGCATACATCTGAACTTTTAATGCTGAAGCTAATGTGTGTCGAGCATTCCCAGATCATAGGGTTATTCCCATACAGTAAAGGTTATACCGACTGCACACAAGTATTAAGTAAATACTTGTGACATAGGTAGTCCAGTAGGCAAGTGATGTTTTTAAAAATGTCATCTGTGTTAAACATGCCACTGCTAAAAAATAATGGAAACTAAACTGGTGCAAATGATGGAAGGTTCATATTATTATCTCCTCCACCTTTTTCAGTGTTGCTAACTTCATCTTTGCTTTCCTCCGTAACTGAGTTTCAGTAGTTGGAAGTATAAAAAATTTTAGGCACTGCGATTGTTCAGTGTGCATGGAAATGAAACATAATGACATTGTAAACCTTGATATGTGTAATTTCTTATGGCTGGAAATAGCTAGGGTTCATACTTGTAGATCCTTTTACTAGACTGTGTCATGTTTTACGTGAGTTGAAGTAAGACTGAAGGTGCCCCCATCTGTTTAGATATTGTACCTATTTGTTAATTTTCTCTTGTATATTGGTATTGAAACTTTGATGATCTTTTTTATAACTGTACTCACTTTGGTCACTTCAGTTTTAGATTCAGAAAATAACTGAAATCTGGGGAAAACTGCATAGTTGATCACAGCAGTGAGTTACTGTGACACATTTTTACTGCCATTTGTAGAGAATTACACTCTCTAAAGTTAGAAAGACACTCCTTTGTGTCTTGTCTTCAGGTATTTTCAATTATCTTTCACAATCGAGATAAAATAATATGCAATCATGTCAAGTAATGTTTCTGTACAGTGGATTTTTATAACATCTCATGGTGACGGGCATTGCATAGATTAGATCATAAGAGATCTGATATTTAATTTTCTGTTTAGGTAAGTACAGAAATTTTACTGTATCAGGTACTTCCTAAAGCATCTGATCTTACACTGTTTATCAGTAGTTATAACTTGAGTCTAATTATATTTTCATAAGCATTTGGAAGGGGGAGAAAAAGATTATGTTCCTAAATAGGAATACCAAAATTTATATTTGCTAAATTATAGTAAATGACTAATATATAATTTTGTGTTTGTGATCTCAGCATATTAAGTTTCAAATGCTTTCTCATAACTTAATAAATGCAACAGAAATACATACTATAGTATGCCAGAAAGAAATAGTAAGGAATTGCACATTTTTTATTTTGCTTCACAAGTTAAATTTTATTCTGGGCCTTTCTTTATGCACTGAGTCTGTTTTTAATTTTTCTTAATATGCAAATAAAATAATTTTGGCAGGGATCGAAAATTTTAAACATTATTCCAGTTGCTAACATATAAAATTGTGAAACAGAAGTGTTAAGGGTACTTTGAACAAAATTCTTTGTTTCAGAATCTAGTAATGAGCAACCATTTGATTTGGAGTCAACAACAAAGGCGGGTGAAATAAAAATCTCAGAAGTTGGTGAGTGCAAGCATGTCTTCAGGCTTGTTATATAAAAAGTTGTCTTGGTATTATTAGTTTAAAAACATTATTACAAAATAAATCACAGGCTTAATTTGTGATTTTTCCACCACAGGACATCTTTGTGGAAGTATTGTTTCATATTTTCTTTCTGTGGAATGATTTCCTGATGCACACAACAATTTTGTGTTTGTGATCTCAGCATATTAAGTTTCAAATGCTTTCTCATAACTTAATAAATGCAACAGGAATACATACTATAGTATGCCAGAAAGAAATAGTAAGGAATTACACATTTTTTATTTTGCTTCACAAGTTAAACTTTATTCTGGGCCTTTCTTTATGCACTAAGTCTGTTTTTAATTTTTCTTAATATGCAAATAAAATAATTTTGGCAGGGATCGAAAATTTTAAACATTATTCCAGTTGCTAACATATAAAATTGTGAAACAGAAGTGTTAAGGGTACTTTGAACAAAATTCTTTGTTTCAGTATCTAGTAATGAGCAACCATTTGACTTGGAGTCAACAACAAAGGAGGGTGAAATAAAAATCTCAGAAGTTGGTGAGTGCAAGCATGTCTTCAGGCTTGTTATATAAAAAGTTGTTCTGGTATTATTAGTTTAAAAACATTATTACAAAATAAATCACAGGCTTAATTTGTGATTTTTCCACCACAGGACATCTTTGTGGAAGTATTGTTTAATATTTTTTCTTTCTGTGGAATGATTTCCTGATGCACACAACAATACTCTAAACATACAGTGTTTAAACAAAAATTGTCCCATTCTTGAACTTCAGAAACCACTTAAATGTTTTGAGTTCTGCTTATTCTTTCCTCTCGAAAAGCAAGTCTTAGCATATCTAATATTGTAGCAGTTTCACATAGTATGAAACAGAACTTGATGCACACTATAGCCAGACAAGTCTGTGGATCGCTCTGGCTTGTTTCCCTAAGATATTATCTAAGGTATGAAGGAGATCAGTTTTTAAAATTTATATTACACAATGAACATGGGCTGGCATCCCAACTTAGAGGAAATTTCTGTTGAAGGTGTTTGGGTTTACCCCACACCCTATTTCTGCCCATCTGTAGGTAACCAATGGGAGAAGAATTGCTCTCACTTAAACTAGTTGTTCGTCCAAGAAGTGGTCTAAGTTTCAAACTGGCCGACTAATTAGAATCTGCAGATTTAAACAAACCAAAATGTGTCATTGTTTTAAAAAAGAACGTTTTTCTTAGCATTGGTATGCTTATAAACACTGGCAGCTTGGTCCTGTTAGACAGCGGTTGCCCTTCAGTGCCGCTGCACAGATAATCAGTTTCCAATTACTATTCAACTTATCCGAGAAACGGCCAGAAGAAAAGTGATTCAAGTTTCTTATATATATTTTTTTTTTATTTTGTGTGAATATCAACTCCAATAATAATTACTGGCTTATTTAAAATGCAGCTCGATTGAATGCATACCCGTATCCCTGAGACAATGTCATGATTCCACTAACAGCTAGCCAGGACCCACTTAAATATCACCTCACTCTGTTTTACCGTTGCCTAACCAATAATGGCCGCATCCCTGAGTAAGAAAAACTAAAGGTGATAGTGAGGAGGTGTACAGGTATAACACACACTAAAAATAACAAAAAACACAATTTGCAATAATACAGTTGAAAGGTTGGAATTTAAATGTTCTCTTATTTTAATTTGTTGACTCTAAAGATAGTTTTTGTCTTTCTAAAAATATGCTTTAACTTTAATTGCATATAACCTAACTACATAGCAAACATCTCTTTATTTGGCGTCACTGAGTTCACTAGTCTTCAGAGTTGACAATTACTTTAAAACATTTTCAGTATGTGTGTCATCAGCGTTGAAGACCATCTGCACCCAATGTTGGAAATTTCACACAGTTGTCAGAGTTTCTTCATTGATGCTGATCAGTGTTGCCAAAACTTCTTGCCACAGTTCTTTGATTGTCTGCAGATTGTTTTTGTAAACTGTATCATTCAGAAAGCTCTATAAGAAATAATCACATAGGTTCAGCTCTGGAAAATGATGGCCAGGATTACCTATATTCAAACTGTTCAGGAAAATGATTAGAAATTAGACAACACTTGTCAAAATTCTCATTCAGCACATCCAGCAGTGCATTGGCAGTATGTGGCTGAACCCCATCCTGTTGGAAAAATGTTTTTTTCCAAAATTCTTGGAGGACATGGTGATAAGGATCAGCTTGCTGCATTTGAATTATGTATGCAAATAGTTCCACATCTTCTCAGATTATCCTGTACGTTGATGATGCTCCCAGGTTGAATTGTTGAGAAATACTTTTACCGATTTTCTGGGACTCTGTGTCAGCACCCTTTGAATAGAGTGAATGTGTTCTGGTGTCCTTGCTGTCTGTCCTACTGGATGACTTATGCTAAGTTCTGTATTGCAAACAGCACAGTTTCTGTTGTCCAAGATGAATATTGGTCTTCATTGTTCAAGATTATAGAGATATTTATTATGTCACATTGTAATTTGTATTAACCTGAATAACAGAGTTGAATACTAGATATTGGCAATTCAGAACAACAGATTTCATGGAATATACCTTCAAAAACATTTTCCTGTGACTGTTTGAAAGTTATTTCTCTTTTTAAGAAAATATAATTGGTATAAAAGACAAACTTACAAAAACTCTGTGAGACAGAACTTTGACATATCTATATATAGACATTACTTTATTCACTTGACATTGTTGTTTTGTTTCCCTGTAGCTACAGCACCAAATCTCTTGCAGGTGCCAGAACATGATGAATCATCAAGCACCGAGAGCACAAGTAGTGAACTATCAGAGGAAAAACCTTTTTTGCTGGTGTCCATCTAAATCATTCATTTAAAAACCAAAATCAGTACAGGGATTAATTAAATGGTGAGATCTTTCTCTTTAGAAATATTTTATTCTAATGAATAATGAGCAAAAGTTTCATTCTCGTTAAAATAGAAATTTAACTTTGATTCATGTCAGTGAAAATGGAGACTTATTATATTTGAAATATGCTTTTATATTTAAAAAAATTGTCATGTTAACATTAATCTGATGTGCCATTTTTTCCAATTCAAAGTGTAAAAAATCATAACTTTCTTTACTTGTATTAATATGCAAATAATTTTGTAAGACAGAAAGGCATTTACAACTAAATTAAGATGCATATTCTGTTGAATCGGTAGTGGAATTAGTGTCTCCAGCTTAAATATTGTAAGATTCTGAAATTAATCTTCATTAAGATTGTAACAGTACTATTGCAATATTATTAACAGGCAATATGTGCAGTTTAGTCATTTAAGGTGTACTTCAGGTCTAATCTGTATTTAAGTGTTTTGAAGTCATTCTGGAGACTATAAAATTCTAATTTAAAGTTATTTAATTTCATTTGTCTAATGAGTGATGGTTGAACATTGTTATATTTCTGTTTAGTTATTTGTGATGGTCAAGTATGAACTGATTAATTTTTCAAAAATATAAACCCAAAAAGGTTTTCAGTCATAAGATTTGAGATTTTTATGGTGGTGACAATTTAGAATGTAGTCTTCTGGGTTCAGGCTATACAGTGTCCTAACCCAGAAGACCACAGTGTTTAGAGTGTAGTCTTCTGGGTTGAGGCTACACAGTGTCCTAACCCAGAAGACCACAGTCAAAATTATACCATAAAACTAGAAGTAGATAAGATGACAGAGGTTAATAAAGTAATTGGTGAAAGAAAGGGAGAATAAGCAATGATCATGCTACATCGTAATCTTAGAAAATTACAGTTGAGTTTCTTGAAACCACATGAAGTGTAGATTTTATTTATGTATGAAGCATTAAGTGCTATTATGTTGATAAATCATTTAGTTATGTAGTTGCCTCTCTTGAGTGTTTGTCTTCAAAAAGAAGTAGCTGCTACAGTGGTACGTTCTTGGAATGTTTTGGTTTGGATATGCCCAGATGAATTCATTAATTTCCATCCTTTTTCTATAGGTAGAAAATGTAGCATGTTACTTGTTTGGTTTTACACTTTTTGGTTATAAAATCCATGTTGAAAAATAATGACAAACTCTTAGAAACTTATGTTGCTTTAAATTATTTTCATTTTTGTTCAGACTCAATATGTTGCTGTAGTATTTATAAGTGCTAGTATTGTTAAAATTGTGTTTGTTATATGTAATATCATATTGTAAAAGAAATTAAGCTCAACCTGCATACTATTTTAATTAGTTGTAAAGCAGCAGGTTTTTCAGGTAAAGTTTGTTAGTCTTGTGTGTATTATAGGCATTTTGTATGATGATAAATTTATTGTGAATAGAAGTGCTGTGAGTTCATCATTCAAACGAGATGCAAGTAGTAGGTGCTTCATCATAGTACATGACATTATTCAGCTTCGGTGAAAAAAATTTTTTTTTTTTAAATGCACATAGGTAATTCACATGTAATCTGCACCATTCAAGTCATTAATTCAAGCTTCCAACTTTTGATCCCTCTGGAAAAATGGCAATATTAATATATTATTAAACATATGCTATGTTTATTTTCTCTCTTTATACTTAATTAGTGTCAGGAGTTTGCAGAATTTTGTAGAATGTTTCATATTGTTACAGTTTTATGGTCATTGTTTCTAGTCGGTGATTATCTTGTCTTGCTTATTTTCAAAATATTTACATTATCTTAAAAGTCCACAGTAAAATTAAAAGAATAATCTCTTTCTTACTTTATTATTTAGGACCGATTATTCTGTGTTTTGAATTTCCATCAATATTATCTGATGTCTATACCACTCCCTGAAAAGAATGATGCATATTACCACATCTTAAAAGGTTGCATCCTGTTGTATGGTTAGCTTAGATACAAATAATATAGTCATCAACACAACTTGTATTTTGTATCACATTACAAACCAAGTATTATATAGAAGATTTCTGTCTTCTGGGTTATATAGCTCACACACATATGATAAAGGACAACACTCCATGTTTCTGCATATAGCCATCATTAGGTGTTTTCTGAAAATGTCAATGTCATATCTAAAACCACTGTTTTGACCATACCTATGATTTGTAGGCAGTCACTGAAATATAAATGTAGGCTTGGCTTTGTTGGTATAAAGTCAGTAGAAGGAAACAATAAAATATGCTAAAACTTGTGTTTTTATATGTCATGAAGAAGAGTAAAGTTAAACAGGCAGTAAAATATGTATAAGTTTGAATCCAGATGCTGTATTAATCCTTGTGGCAGCTTCTTGCATGCTTATCATGTATTCATTGAAGGAAATGCATGGAAAAGCATTGGTGTTTGAGTATAATGATAGGGAGGGGGGGCATCTGATGATAATCACATACTGATTTAAATTGTATGATGTATCTGCTTTATTGGCCTGTAAATTTGGAGCCTGGAATGAAACGTGTGTTAATAATATTTATATGAATCTGTGTATAATATAGGATTTTCACAATTTGTAGAATATTTGTAGTACTTTACAACTGACCACACATGTTTCTGTTACTGAGTGTATACTGGGCATAGATTGAATCAATTTTATTGCTCCTAATAATTTGTGTATTTCTTTAAATCTTGTTTTGAATGATTGCCTGTTTGTTCATTGCATTTTAGTAGACAGGTTTGGAATTTTAATTAATAATATTAAACTATTTATGTATTGATGATTTTTTCAGGTTTGTGTTTAATAATTTGCATGTGGTTCTTATTTTATTCCCTGTATAGGTAAACACAACCCATTTTTGTTTGCCTGAATTCTTTTGCTGTCTTCTGTCTCAGTTACTTTTTGGTGAGGTTTTAGAAGATGGGTTGGAAATTGATTGTTTTTGAGAATTTATTTGATTGAGAGTTCTTCTGGTTTTATGTTCTCCAATGTGAGATGAGTGTTCATCCAGTTTTCTCAGTTATGCATGTAATTGAATGATACCTGTGCTGAAATTAACAACTCCATTTTTTATTTGTCATCAAAACCCACTAGGCTTGCAGGTGGCAGCACCTATACTTACCTACCTTGCCAACTCCAGTGTTCTCCGTAACAACAGTTGCCCGAATTTGCCTGTTTAGACCACGTCTTCCTACACATACCCACCAATATATCCTATATTATATACAGATGCATCTAAACAGTACTAATATACATATTTAATTCCAGGTTCAAAATTTATATCTACAGTAGGCCACTCCGATAAATCCTACAATACATACCTGTAAGTGACTGTTAACAAAAAATCACCCCCATATATACAAAATTTCAACAACAAAAATTTGATAGAGGTTCCTATATCAGTAGATGGAAATTACATCCCACATCACTGTATCATGACATCATGACATTTCCTCAACATACAAAACAGGAGTGCTTTTCCATTCATTTCGTTCAGTCGACACACGATAAACCTGCAACAACTTGTCACACGGATTAACACAGCATCTGAATTCAAACCTTTTCCTATTTTACTGCCTGTTCAACTTTACACCTCTTCATGACCTATGAAAACTGATAATAACTTGTAATATATTATTCTGTTTACTTTTATTTATTATATCCTAATTGAGCAAAACCTTTATTTTTAACTATTTTAATGACTGCCTGCAAATCATTGGTATGGATCTGTATCCTTACAGTCTGAATAGTGCATTTAGTGTTTAGATTTTATGCTCTAGTGTATTTTCTGAAAACACCTGATGACATCAATACACTGAAATGTGTTTGTGGTATATCGTATGTGATATATAATACTGAGTTTGTCACATGTGACGAAATAGAAATTGTGTTGCTGGCTGTACTCATTGGAGAAAATTCGCGTTCACGAAACATACGTAATTGCAGAGAATCAAGGGCTACCTGTAATTTGTTTGAAGCCGTTTCATCATATAATGTCTCGTGAGGAACAAAACTAGGACTTTTAGCTGCACAGAATTCTTTTCAGTTATTTGTGTTGTCATGCCACTGCTTTGAGGTCCTCATATTTATGTAGCTGCATGTTTTAGACAGCAGAATGCAAGATGAGTCAAGTAGGCCCATTCTGTTTTATCTAAAAATGCTTTGTTATTGTTATGGGTAATTCCTGAACACCATCCATGGCAGCTGTCAAGATTATGTATACCAGACACACCATCTTTTAAAAATATCAGAATGAACCACATCTACTGATTTGTCACTTCATCATGTGATGAGGAGGCACACTTCATTTGTTGTGTGAGATTTGCATTGAGACACATGCTTTGACAGCTTCCTGTTCAGGAAATAGATCATTCCAGCAACATCTGAAAACATTTCTGTTGACCCAGTTGTAGATCACATCCTTTCTGCTGAAAAATATACGACTGTAGTGCAGTCATTACAGTTTTTGTCATTCTTATGACACAAGCATAATGTGGTTTATGATGTTAATTTACATCTTTAAAGAAGTTGCACATTTAATGCAAATTATGAAATCTACTTCATAGTATTGGCAAAAATGTGCAGAATCCAAGTTTTCTCATAAGGAAGTTTTGAAGTTCACCGACATTTTTGTTTCTTGATTTGTTGGGGGCGATCATGGTGATTGATGATGTTTTAAAAATATTGTATTTATTAATGTACTGTATAAAAAGTTTGTCAACAATTGAATACACAAAGGGGCCTTCAACATAGAAAGTTTGAGGTGACTTATTTGACAAGGGGAGGGCATGGGAAATGTGCCAAATATAGCACCTCAATATGTGTAGCCTGTAAATGGGCCATAAATTGACCTTTTCTGCTTATATTCATTGATTGAAGTGACACTAATTGTGTGAAGATTATACAGAGGAAATTTTTGGGTTCGAGTTTAATTGTGAAAATTCAGTATTTAGCTTCATCATAATCCATTCATCTGGACTGTCACATTTACTTACATACTTGAAAAAATTCATTTGTTTTCATTACCACTAATTTCAGTTACAGGGGACATGATTCTAAAATCAAAACTGGTGCACCAATATATATTAGTAAAGTCTGAAAAATCTTTCTAATTCAAGAAAATATAATAGAAAACAATATATTCCCCTTTCTGCATTTCCTTTTCTTAGATCTCAAACTAAGTTGCAAATTCCTTGACAGTGACATATTTGTTTTGTTTACTGACATTGCAACTGTGGTTCACAACACAAATCTATACACAACTTATTTTTAATATGATTTACCAACTTCAGGGCTGATAATTTGGAGCCAAGTGCTATCCATCCTTCATGAAGAATTCAATGGTTGTGATGCATGCATTTTCCTGTTCATGTCATAATGTTGACATCACTAATCAGGAATCATGCCTTGTGACAATTTTCAGTGCTTCTTGCATTCAGTCTGTGCAGGGGATGGAAAATGTGTTTTTTGGGACTTTTTTGCTCAGGTATGTTGTTAGGTACTATATAAGGTTTTCTGTCTTTGTCACACAGTAAGCACCTTGTCAGTATTGCAAGTCATTAGGGCATGTACTGCAGGTTAAGATTTCAAAACTACTGAATGGCCAAATGAAAGTTTTAGATATCAATTAGATCTGTGGGTGGACTGAGATACAAAACCAGCATACAGAAACTTTAGGTAGAATTCTAGTAAGGCAGAAACAAAACATGAAAATGAAGCATATTTCCACAAGGTGAGAACTGTGATACTGTAGGGTGCATCGAGAAACTGAGCAACCTATAAATTTTTCGTTTGGCTTATACATCTTCACAGTTTGTAAATGATGGTAAGATGACATTTGTCAATGATGATATGCATAGGACATGATATACAGATGACATTGTCTCTTGAAGGGACTGCACAATTCTGCTTGTGTAAACTTAGGGCAATTTGGAGAAATTTGCCAGAATAGGCCTTCTGGAAAGAATCTTAACATTTAAGACTGCTAGATCAATCTAACCAGGATTACAGCCAAGCCAGGGTGCTGCTACAGTGCTATTGATTGGTGGGGCTCTTTCCAAGTACTACTTATAAAGACAGAGTTGTAGAATATATACGGCTTAGCGAGGGAGCCACGAGTTCCCATTTATATAATGTTGCATTTATTGCCCTTCAGTAACGCTGGTATATACCTGTGCGCGTCAAAACCCAATACAATAATGCCATGGTTATTATAATACCACTTGGACCATAGAGAACACTACCGTAGACGTCATTAAATCCAGATTAAATATAGGTGGCTGTTTGCTAGGTTGTTGCGCCAAGGTTCTTGCTGCCACCATCATCAGGGCGAAGATTAATGACACATCGCCCCTGATGATGGAGACAGCAAGGATATCTGAAATGTCGGTAAACTTCTACACGACTTAACAACCGAGAAGACAGCCATCTTCAAGATTAATGACACATCGCCCCTGATGATGGAGACAGCAAGGATATCTGAAATGTCGGTAAACTTCTACACGACTTAACAACCGAGAAGACAGCCATCTTCAGACTCACCGCCGTGAAAACCTCAAATCTTGCCACAATTATACTATCCAGATTTAATGTTATAATGGCGTTGTGATGGATACCGTATACGACTTTTGCGACATCTGTTATGAATGATAAAAGTTCTTATAGCAGTAGTTCTTGTATACTATGCAAAGATGTCAAGACGTAAGCTGTCACTCCAAAATAGAACAGTGGGTAGGTTGTATGTTGGTAACTATGGTTTGTTCTGTTGCAAATAAATGTCAAAACAGCTGATAATCTTTCTGGTGCTGTGGTGTTTAGATATCTACTTTGGTAGTCTTTGATCGTTTCTACGATATAAACGTAGTAATTGTAACGTGTTTAATAATTAGTACAAGAAACTAAGACCTTCACAAGGTATACGGGTCAATGAAAAATAAATGTATGATTAATGAGACTTTTATTATGACCTGATATCCCCACTGATGTAGGGATAACCTTAGGTTATCCTCAGTGTCATATTTGGTGTAGATCGTTTCAGCATTATGTCGACAGGAACAAATCTAGTAGTACCTGTTGTATTGTGGGGCAAAACTGCTCCAACGCACTGTATTTCGTGCATTTTCCTCTCCCGTGATCAACGAACGTTGGTAACGGGCTGTTATGATGGGCAGATTTGCCTCTGGCAAGTTGATCCTGACACACTCAAGGTATGGTGGTTTGTAATTTAATTGCAATAAATTCGGTAAGTTGGACAATTTGTTCTTTTCCACCAAATTGAATAATTCCGAACGTGGTTGTTAATTTTACGAAGTTTGTTCTGCATCTTGAAGAACAAACTACCTCTGTTCTCATTCATCTCCACCCTTGCTTCAGTTGCCCTTGTTCTTTACAGCACTAACTGATTCTCCATTGATAGTTCACGTTAATACTCCATCACCCATTTATCCAATTTCCATTGTTCATTATATTACTGATTTATCCATGATTCATAATATTGTCCTGTTCTTCACACCATTTTTAATATGAATAATACGTTACTGATTTAGTTATATTGGCCATTAAGAGTTGTGAAAGCACAGGATGTCTGGTGACTATGTATCAGTTTTTCAGGATCTTATTCCTAGTCTGAAATGTATGAACATAGATCTGATTCTTAATGGTTATGGAGCTACAGATACTTATACTTGAAATTTAAGATGATTTGAACCTTTCATAGAACATCAGAGTTATTCATTCGTCTTGAACAACACTAATACAATTACAGATGTAGTTTCAGAGTGATGGGGCACCTTAGACTTTATTTGACATGCGACAGAGTACCTGAATTAGTAATTCCTGACCATTGGATTGATTGTGGTGGTTCACAAATTAAACAGAAGAGAGGAACTACACTAGCAAATTTTCTGTGTTGCAAGGGGCATTTGAAATATCCATAGCTCCATAACCATCAAGAACTGGACGTATGTTCATATGGAATTCTGACGGAATTATGTCTGGAATAAGATTCTGATGTATTGACATAAAGTCACTGGACATTCTGTACACATCCTAGATGTTTATTCCACTCATAATATATCCTGTAGGTTTGTGCGTTAAGTTGTCCTCCAGAATCTTTCCTATTGAGCATTAAAATACAGAAATGATTATTTGTTCTGTTTAATAAAGTGTTCAAATATGCATTTGAATGGTAAAGGTAAAGTTATTCTTTTGATTAACACATTATGTATTATTGTTTGATTAAATTTTTTCTATAGATGTTATATTTTTCTCTATTGACAAATTAATATTCATTTGTCTTTTGGATGTTTTATACTGTAACTTATACTAACAAACTGTTTGAACTAATGTTTGTTGTTGGTGTTTATGTCTTTCTAGTTTGTGAATTTTGTGTTATTGGTTTACAGATGACTCCACGATGTCTTCTTGTTGGTCACACTGCTCCAGTTTTGTGTTTGTCTAAAGCTAGCATTGTACTGGACAATAATTTTATTGTAAGCTCATCTGAGAGTGGGTAAGTGACATTTATATGCAATATATTTATTGCTGTTTTTCATATTCATATATTTGGAAATTGACGTTATAGTTAATTTTTTAAGTGTTCCATGATACTGTACTGATGTGTTTAAGTTTGTTTGTGCAATTTTAAATTGAATGTTTGAGGAAACTTTCTCTTTTACTGTAAAAATTTGCTTTATATCTATAATAATCAGTATAATTAATTATTGTTGAAAATTGTGGTTCAAATGAGGTTTAACCCTATATGATATATATTTTATACTTAACTGGCATACTAATTAACATTTAACTTTAGACCACAGAGTGTTCAGTAGCCAGATGAAACAGTTTGTATTGAATTGTCAATACCAACTGTTACACTTTACAGCTATATAAATGCTTTGTTTTCAGTCTGTTGTAGACTTTCTCACACAAATATACTATATGTATTTGTCATCAAGTGGATATGACCAATGATTGATCCTTCAAGATTGTTAGGTATTCTTACAGAAATTGCATTGTTTTAAAGAAGTTAATTTTTTATGCCATTGACTTCAGTAATGATCTCATCACTACAGCTATTTTTTGTCTCAGAAATGTAACATTTAGAAAGTTGATTTATTAACTGTGTATGTTCTTGATAGACACATACGGTAAAACTTCACTGATTGCATTTGCTCGTTATAACTGTTATTTGCCATCCACTAACTAACTAACTAACTAACTAGATGGCTTACAGAACCCGAATGTTTATCACCGAATTAACCAAAGCCCTCCACCAGACCATGTCCTAGGCCAACAAAATCCAGTCTCCTTCAACTCACATCTCCCATAGATCCTGCCTGAGATCATCCTCCCATCTACGTCTAGGTCTCCCCAGCGGTCTCTTCCCCTCAGGCTTCCCAACCAATACCTGGTGCACACCTCTTGCCCCATCCATGCGGCCCACATACCCCACCCATCACTGACATTACTGGGGGAGGAGTATAAATTTTTGAGTTCATTATTATGCAGTTTTCTCCATACCCCATCGACTTCTCTCCTAGGCCCAAATATCCTCCTCAACACCCTATTCTCAAACACCTGCAAACTGTGTTCTTCCCTCTGAGTGAGAGACCATGTTTTGCACCCATACAAAACAACAGGCAACATTATTGTTTTGTACATTTTATTCTTCAGGTTCTTAGAAATCAGATGGGAAGACAAAATATTTTGAACTGAGGAGTAGCAAGCATTTGCAGAATTTAGTCTCCTCCTGACTTCCTCATGAGTATCATTTTGATTTGTTATTGTTATTCCCAAATATTTGAACTTTGTCACATTTTCAAAGGATTTATTAGCCACCCTAAGATAATTCTGCCCGTCTGTCTGCTGACGATAGAAACATGTTCAAAGGCACATATTAAATTACAGCAAATGATTACATTATATTTAGGATTTGTAATAAAAGACTATTATAATTACATTTTTTAAATGTTTGTTTGGAAAATATTGTTAAAACTAATATAGAAAATCTAAAAAATGCATGAAAATAATTTTAAAATATAGATATGTACATATACTAATTATTACCTTCTTTATTTGAAACACACTTAGGGCATTAAATGTACTGTTGTTCAATGTTTTGCTGTTTTGAGAAAGGTTTATTAACATATGCACAGCGTTTTGGGACTATGAATTACTAACAGTTTTGCAGTCACTATCTTTTGAAGTATTCATCACTGTTTTTGTCACTGTCTTCTTTTTGTAATACTGCGTCTATTACGCCGTCATCTGTAGGTACTCCAGATGTTGCCAAATCATCATCAGCTTTATTGAAATTATCAATATCAGAATCATGTTCAGAGGTTTTTATTTCATACTGTTTCAGCCACTCAGAAAAAGCATGTTCACCTTCAGTAATGGTTTGGTTATTTTGTCTTTGTAATAAAACCAACATTTTATTATATTTTTGTTCATTGTGACATTCTTCTCAAATGCAGGTAAAGTTTGGTCTTTTTTTCTGTAATAAAATTGAAACTATATATGATGGTATGTTGAATTTTTACACACTATTTTACACCATGTTCTAACTCATGAATATTTCCAAATTTTTCATGCACGGACACTTCTCTTGTTTACAGACTTGTTGTTTATTGAGAGGTAAAATCCTTACTGTTTATGACTTACCAGCCAGAGTGTTTAAAGCAGGCTATCCACAACAATATGTAATCCTAATGCTACAGGTGCAGGTTAAAACTTAGATGTTCTGTAACATTAAGAACATAAACATTTGAAAAGGTTTCATGTTGTAAAGAGCTAAAAAAAATTCCCCAGGGAAACCAGTTTTACTTGTTACGTCCTTGAAGTATGCTTGTTATATATGAGAAATTTTATATATAAATTTAAGTAAATGAAATGTGAAATTGTCATTTGTGTGCTGTATTCATGGACTCATTATATTTGTGTTTGTTATGACCAGGCTTAACTGTACTTCCGTCATGGACGATGTGAATATTGGGGGATGGGGATTAAAGTAGAGATGGAGAGTGAGTTTCACTTGTTTATCTTCCTTCCATTGAGCAGTCCATATTGCTCACTCTTTGTAGCAAATAATATGGTGGATAAGTAGCATAGATCACCTTTTTCACAGGCACAAAATTTTAATATTGACTGTGTGTGAAATTGTTTTTATGTTATTTTTATAGGTAATATAAATGCATACTGTTTCAGTGAAATGTGCACTTGGGATTTGGTGGATGGAAAGTGTAGAGAAGTTGTGAAGCTACCATATGTACACACCAGTATCCAGGTACTGCTGTTGTGAACTGTTTTTTAATATTTTAGAAATCTTTAGGAACAAAAGTTGCTTCTTTTTTAATTCTGTCTGTGAAGATGTATTGGTCTGCTCCCTGATTCGGCTGTAAGCATTAATGTTATAGACAATAATCGACTGATTATTATGAAACTTGCCATAATAATAATGTCGCTGGAGCCTTCCTCATTTTGGTAATTTTACTTTATCATCACCATTATAGCAGCTGTGCAGACTTGTGAGAACACTGTTGCCACACTGGGTACAAATCCTGGAAGGTTCACACAGTGGTAAATATAGGAATTTGAATGCTATGCATTACTAGTGTCATTTATTATTGTTGTTGCAAAGTCTGTGGCTGTATGACAATGTCTGTGTGGAACTGCAGCCATTAACAGGCCTATAATTGTGTCCCAGTTGAGACATGAGTGAGTATGGAACAATGATTGAATGGTATTGATAGGGGAAAATCAAAGAATTTGGATAAAAACCTGTCCCAGTGGTGCCATTTTGTCCACAAATCCTACATGGACTTCCCTGAGTGTGAACGCAGGCATCTGTGATGAGAAACCAGCAACCAACTGCTTGCGGTACGGCATGGTCACTGTCATTAGTTACTAAAATATAAAATAAAGTGACAAGCACACATTGGTCAGCCCATAGCCAGTCAGTATACTGACTGAGCTACCTGGCTCACACTGGTAAGACAGCATTTTTAACTCTGTTCTGGGATTACAATGAAATTATGTACTTTAATATGCTTTAAAATACAACTTTTATGTCCTGATCACCACCAAGAGACTGCAAACAATTGTAGTACATGTAGGATCTAAGGTTCTCAGTTTTTTGGATTGTAATGCCATGTAGTCTGGTAGAAGTTTACCTGGCTCACACTGGTAAGACAGCATTTTTAACTCTGTTCTGGGATTACAATGAAATTATGTACTTTAATATGCTTTAAAATACAACTTTTATGTCCTGATCACCACCAAGAGACTGCAAACAATTGTAGTACATGTAGGATCTAAGGTTCTCAGTTTTTTGGATTGTAATGCCATGTAGTCTGGTAGAAGTTTACCAATGATTTAAAGGTCCTTGCTGCCTCAATCATTAGGATGATTAGTAAGCCATGTTTGTGAAGTTGGTTTGAGATATAAGAACCAACCAGTCAAGGTAGAACCTTGACAAGACCAGTGGGGAATAGGGTCAGGATTAGGTGATGGCCTGGAAATCAATAGGAGAGTGGGGACATACCATAGCCTGGCCAGAGGAGGGAAAAGGACGTTCATGTGGGGTGCATAACGTGTATAGGAAACGAATCACAAGTATGTGATGAAACAATTTATCCTCACAATGTGTTTTTATATACCAGATCTGTAATAGATACAAGAAATACTCCCAGTCCAATTTAAAAAAATTAAAGCTATACTGGGATGCACCATGTAGGCACTCAGGAGGAAAGGAATTATACCTCCTACTCATTCTCAACCTTGACACTGTATGGGGGTGAGTGGTGTTCTCAGTCTACAAACATTTATTTAGGTCAGTTTCCCAACAAGATATGCTTATTGTGGAAGGATTCACTGAACACAAACATTTGCTCTTAAGTCTGCAAATTTAACATGATTTTTTTTTAATTTGTCTACTTTTTAATTTTATTTTATACTTCATGGGTGTTTAAGGTGACACTGTGCACAAAATGTGTCACAATGTATTTTTGATGCACTGGGCCTGAAGTGGTTACCCCACTGTAATGACAGCACTGACTGGTAGATATATGCAAGGTATGTTTTATCAGATGATTCAGGCCCCAAGACCAAAACAGAGTTTCGTGCTTTTATGCTTGCTTCCACCCTGTTTAAATGGAAGTGGACCTTGAAAAGAAATTTCAAATGACACATGAAGCATTTCTTATTTTATAGTGTTATTCTTTTGTAACATATTTTGGAGGGAAGGAGATAAACATATGAACAGGATAAAAGAAAAGGAGGGTTAGGAGAAGATGTTAAAGAAATCATTTCCTATTCTGTTTATTTTTGTGCTAGTTTACAATAACAAGGATTTTTCATTGCTTGCTATAGGCATACCATATGTGTGGGTGTGATGATGTGCGCCTTTTCTGTAATGGCTATTATGCTGAAGTGCTTGTTATGGACCCATTCAGCTTGGAGATTGTGTTTACTCTGGCATCAAGAGTTAACCCTGACTGGATCAGTGCACTACATGTTCTACGGCCAGCAAAGAGGAAAGGTCAGTCTAGTAGCATGTTTTATAGTTGTAGCACAGACCCACCTGCATGAAATCCAGAATTAATTTTGGTAAGTCTATTAGGTATAGTTAATAGTGGCAAATATATCGTTGGTCAAATAGACAATGTACAGGTTCTTTATTCACAATTTATATAATAGTAATTTACTTTTAATTTGGAATCTGATATAATTTGCAACCAGTTAATGTACTGGTACTCCTGCTTCAAAGCACAAATTAGGCTTATTTTCCTGCATTGTCACTAAGGAAGTGTAGACAATCTTCCAGTGTTCTTGAAAGGGCTTATAATGAGTAATTTTATCATAACAACAACTTATTTTTGTCAAAGGGGTGTTTATCTCACAGAGTTCTGTGATTTTTTTATATTTGACAGGACATTTTTAAAATATTAAGAAATATATACTATCTAAAAGTATAGATAAAAATTTATTAGAATGCAGAAAGGGGAATAAGAATCACATAATAAAATTGTAACTACAGAAGCAATAATTATTCCACTGTACAAGAGTAACTGATGGCTACTTTTATTTGGGGCATGACTGTATGTATTTACTGTATCTAATGGGTGGACTTATCTTTAACATGGCAGTACTTGTGTGAACCACTTATTTTGTGTGAACTCTTTTTAGTAATATGAATTTTACTTGTGTATTTGTAGTGTATTATTGTGACTTATTCCTCATCCTGTTGTCATCTGACTAATGTATGGGTCTATGGAATGTAATGATAGAATACAGTATGCAGTTAACTGAAATAATTAGAGGAGGAGTAAATAAGAAATAAGAAAGAAATAAAAAATTAAAGTAGTAGTTTTCCATAGTCTCTTCAGGCATAAGCTGGAATACTACATTGGAATGTTTATGTTTAATTATGCAACAACTGCGTTATTTGTAATACTTTTAAATTCATCATACAGAATCAGCATTCCATTTGATGCTGTATATAACCTATGGAATTGAGAAAATGCTAAGAATAAAGTGAAGAAAAACAGTGGTGGAGAGTAGTTTCTTGTGGGCTAGGTAGTGGAAAGGTTCGGTCTTTGCTTTCACTTGCAGCGTACCACAGCAAATAGAAGAGTTTAAAGGATGCCTAAAACATGCTGATAAGAAAACAAAATGGATGAGTGGTAAAGAAGTGACTGCATTTCTGTATATGACAGTACATTCTTTTTTAAAGATTAATTAAGTTCAACAAGTGATGATAACAGAATGAAACAAATTAAATGTTTTAGGAACATGCACAAATAAACCAAGCACCAAATAATTCTTGTATGAATAATCAAGAGTATGTTATACTTATGTCTGTAAATGATGGTAAAGTTTAAAAATGTCAATTTTTATAAACATGGTTTTTAGAAACTGAATATTATTCAGGAAGCATTCTTTCCCTTTATCACTGTTTGTATACAGCTATGATACTTAGAATATTCAATGTGCATTAAAAAATATTGCTTACTAGATAGAGGGCACTGTCAGTTTTCTCACTTGGGATGGGTGTGTAACTCAGTCACAGTGTTTAGGAAACTATTATGTAGGAAATAGTCTTCCCATTTTTACCTTGTCTAATACATGAGTAGATGTATTTATAGTATGGAACTTCGAGAACTGTGCTCCATAATAATATGAAAATGTTATTACAAAAGCATTAGTAGGCCATGTTTCATATTCTTGAATATGTGGAAAAATTATTGATAGGTAGGCATTGATGTGTGTATGTATATTGAAATTCTCTTCTTTGAATGTATTGATATTATAGGAATGATATTTGTGTTCTGTTTTCCCCACTTCAGATGATGTTGTGTTAGCCTTGACCACTACTGGTACTGTGAAGGTGTGGACTCTGTTTGGACAGGAATTGAAAAGCTCAGAACCATTCTACGAGAATGAAAGCAAACAGATTCGTTGTCTCAGTGCTCTTAGCATGACCTGTTGTGCATATAATCAACGTACTGTGCTCATTGTTTGCTCGAAGTACTGGCAGGTAATTATAGTTCATTGTGTGTGGAAAGCAGAAGGATATTTTTAACACGAAACTGTATTAAATTAGAAGCCAGTATTTGATAATTTTCAATCATACCTTGGAATTTCTCTTTTCAGATTTATGATGCGGGTGATTTCTCAGTATTATGTTCTGTTATATCTCCACGAGGTGAGCGCTGGTTAGGTGGAGACTTTCTAGCTGCTGATCGTGTTGTTGTTTGGAGTGATGAGGGGCGAGGGTACATGTATAAGCTGCCAGCAAAGTAAGTCACATTTGTTACTTTGATTGTGTATGTCTGTGTTGATTGCTGGGTATCTGGTAAAATTGCATATTGTACTAAGTGATGGTTAAATATTAATGTTTATTTTGTTACATTGGGGTTGATGGAATTGTTTTTTTAATCAGACTGTATTTGAAATTAACACATTCAAGTAAGTAATAGGTGTTATATCAAAAGTTTAAAACTATGATGTGTAAAATTAGATAGATAGAAAAGGGTAGTTTTGAATTTTCACATATTTGTGTTGAATGCATATATTCTGTGGTTGAAAGGGGACTTTTATTTCTGATTTTACAAGTGTGCATTTCTTGGAACAAGTATACAGAATGTCCCACGAAACATCTGCCAAGCATTGGGTGGTTTTTCATTGGCTTATTTTTAGGTAAACATATTATCGTTGGTCAAAATCTCAACTGTTACATAGTTATGATGGATGGAAAGGGAGGATTAAATAAAATTATTTTATTTTAAGAACTGAATCATCTACATAGGAATGGTACTGTGCTCATGTTTAATGTATGTTTTACATATATTATGTATTTAAGCAGCTTGCTGTTCAAAATGACATGCTGCATTGTCTGTGCACCAGGAAGCTTATTTTAAAATGGCATGTTTACTTTCTGTATTATTATTTGGTTCTGTATGAGAGCAGCACTGTTCATAATGCACTTTAAGAGTTTATTTCCTGTCTGTGATATATTCTGCTACACCAAGTCTTTTATAGATACCTACAAGTAGAAATAAAGAGTGTCAATTCTGTCAGCCAGCGAAGCATGCTAACCTCTATGACCAATCCACTGATTTCCATAACATTGATTTGAGTACTTTCTAAGCTGTAGATCAGAATGAGGTTGAACGCTATTGTGTTGCACCCACATATTTAATCTTGCCTGTAGAAGAATATCTTTCAAAATAAATGATAGCTCATCCTGTAGGAAATGCTGGTGGTAGTGTGTTGTTAAATATTCCTCAAGAACAAATTGCTCAGTAGGCTGGTTGTTGATAAGACTACACCACGTGTTCACTGAAAAGCCATGTTAGAAGTTGTTTACAGTAGAATGGTTTGGGTAGTTGGGGGAACATGTGTGATGTTGTGACAGCTGATTATCCTATCCTACATAAATTTGACCTCATCACGAAACAAATTTTGTTTTACAAGTCGATGCTGTGTCACAGTCCAATGATAGAAATATGTGTGAGTTGTGTAATTCTGAGGATGAAGAGTTTTCATATATTTTTGTAGTGGTATGGGTACAGACTTTCCTGATGTAAAGTTCATTGTACCTGCATTTTAGATGTGTGCATTTAATATACAATATGGTGAATGTGTGCACTCAGACTACATTGGATCTTTTATGGTATCCCTTCTTGGACATGAATGCATTGTGCACTATGCTCCCAAGTACTTGTAGTGAATGATCCCATCGTGCAACTGTTAATGTATGTTCTAGATACTGCTCTGATTGGGTGGTTACAGCTAGGAAACCGATGTCTCTACTCATTATCTACTGCATGTGCATTCCCATCTCAGAATCCATATTGAATATGAATGTCTGTATATTCTTCATTTGTGAACTGTGTATTCATTATCACTCACAACAATGACTGAACATAATCTACCTACAAAGTGGTGGGTATGTACACATGGCATGAGCATGTCCTCTTTCTCACCACTGTCGATGGGTGCTCTGCTGGAATGAATAGTGGTTGAGATTTTGACCCGTGTTGATACAACATTTTATTAACTCAGCATAAACTGATGAATAATCACCTAAAGTTTGGTAGGTATTTTGTTGGACACCTGTGTAATGTGGCTTCATCATACCATACACATTTTATTGAAACTTTATTGTATGGGAAAAGGTGTTTTAACTCTTAAAAAACCAATGTTGACTATCTGTACCACCTGCTTTAACAATCAATAACCTTGCTTCTCACATAGTGTGTTTATGGGTTTCATTTGATTCTCAAAATAGCAATTGTTTCCCTAAATGGTATTAACCAGTTATCTCTGTAGTTGATACACATTGTGTTTGGTTACATATATTCCTGGTTTCCACCAAAGGGAGAGACAGAGAAAAAAAAAGATCCTGTATGTAACAGACTTCAGGAATATACCTCCGATAACACTGGCGGAAAGGTTTTCTAAAATGTCATAATGTTCTTTCTGCCTTTATAGATTTGCTAACACTGACATATGACATGTGTGTTTGTATGATAATTTTCAATTATTAATTTAATATATGCTACACAGTTACATTACATGAAACATACACAAAGTTATTGTATTTAGCTGCTGTGAAGTGCAGTTGTTTTAATTAGCTAATTTTTCCACAAATAGTTGCTTCTGGGAAGCACATTTCATTGATTATTTTGCATCATTCTTATACAGTATGTTTTATAATTTCATTATTTATTATATCACATTTTTTAAAGTGTATGAACTGTAGAATTATTTTGTACATGAAGCTGCATGCTCTTTTGTTAGAGAATATCCGGAAACTGTTTTAAAATATTACACACTTCCATGCGTACTGGATTGCACTGTTACTTTTAAAAGAAGCAGTTTGTGATATTTTCTCCAAAATAGCATACCAGCAATTAATATAGAAACATTTTTAAGCTTATTATGGTAATTACTAGTGTAGTAGGTCCGTAGTGCGGTCATATAACTAATTTTATTTATTTTGTTTTTTCTTCCATACCCTTAATCCCCACCCCTTCTTTCCTTGCAATGACGAACCTTTCCCTCACCCTGCACTAGCAAGCTGAAAGGGAAGATGGTCTCTAGGTTGGTAGGAACATAATGTTCTTTCATTTATCATATGCACCTCAGCATCTGCCAATAGTTGGGGCTGTCTTGTTAGTTATGGCTTAGAGCAGCGTGGTCCAACTGGTGGCCCGCGACCACTTGTAATCCAGCCAGCGAAAGTATTTGTTAATTTGTTACTAGTTAGTACAAACCCATTTTTTCCAACTTGATATTCGGTCACTGGTAACAGAACATTCTGCTCAGTGCTCTCACTAAAACCATTGACTTTAAAAAGCATAAGATGTACGTTTTACTGGTACAAATTGTTATTGTACCAGATACAAGCTGTTAAAATAGCGGATTTAAAATAATTTGTGTAAGTTTTCCAGGTAAAAATTGTGAGAGATACAAGCTGTTGCAGGAGCAAATTTAAAATAATATACAACTCTATAGTAGTTAGTGCACATTTAAATAAAATTTATATTTCATCATATGCAATGGTAGTTTGTCATTTCTGAATAAGTATTTTTAAAGATAACGACATTGCAAGAATAGTGAAAGTAGGGGTTTCTTGGCCCTTGGGTCCAACAGGAAAATTACTCTGGCCCAAGTAAGGAAAAAAGTTGGACCACCCTGGTTTAGAGCTATTCTCTTCGACCTGTATGTTTACAGTCTCTCATTTCTGTAAATAGAAATTTAAACTGTTACACTGTGGATCATTGCAGTCCCCCCCCCCCCTTTATAGCACAAATAAATTCTTGATATGTTTAAAATTAAGTCTTTGTAGTGTGGCACTAAATGCTGTTTCATCAAGCATTGAGAAATTCTAAATCCAAAACTGGAGGTGTTGTAAGCATACAGCTGGGATCTTAATTCCAGTCAGTCATATTCTCATTGTATCTGCCTATATGTGCCGTTTCTGTATCGTCTGTTAATTACAGTTATTTATTTGAGATGTCTGCTTGGCACAACACCAATATGTCGATTTGAAGAAAAACATAATGTAATGACTTTTCTGAGACATGACCAAGGAAGATGTAATAAATAACTGCAAATAGTTGAAAAGTAAATGAAATTTTATGATCTGCAAAAACAGAAAGTACATTGTGATTTAAAAATCACCTTATCACCCCCAGCCATCTACACCGTAGGCAAACACACTACTGAGTGAAACATTGAACTTTGTATGAAAAAGGAACAGTACACTGTTGAAACCTAATATTTTGACCAGGGATTCAGAGGGCTTACTTCCACACTGCAAAACTGAAACTGAATTGGAGGGTTTTAAGGGACCTGGTCCCCTTTATGGAGTATAACTTGCAGCTGCACCAGCATAAACATCGAAGAGTACACAAGATGACCATCAAAGTATATGAAACCCTCTCAGAGCCTCCATTACATAAGTCAACTGTACCGATGTCCATCTCAAATAAGAAGTAACAGTGAAGTTAATATAAAGTTGATGAACAATAGTCAGTCTCTGTCTGAGTCTATTCCAAGATGAATGAGGTTCTTGTTTGAAGCTCAGGGATTGTTGATGTCTCAGATGCTTCAAGTCATGAAAACAGCCCTTGGTAGGGCTAACATACATATTCATATTTTATTAAGTAACTGGTATACTATATGAAAGAAGTGTGCTAAAGTATGTGCTTCTTGCAAATTAATTGCTTGTCTACATTCATTTTCAAACGCAAAACCTTTAAATCAGTATGCCAGTGAACAGTAAGTCATAGAAAAATAAAATAAGTGCCTGCTGCTTTTGCATTACTAGCCTCATTAATGTAGTGCAGATAATAAAATGATTATGAGAATGATAATACAGACAGTTACTTTTTTTGCAAGTTTCCAAAAGGTTACGGGACTACATGCTTTACAGAAAGATGATAATTATACACTTTCTTTCGAATATCATGATCTGCATATTTCGTTATCCATTTCCAATTGAAACACACAGTTGAATAACAAATATTTCTGCAAACACAGCATATGCATTAAAAACATGTGAGGACTTCAAATTGCATATGTGATGTTCCTGTCTTGCTGATCCACTGCCCTACCAACTTGTCTACCAAAGATATAGAAGACCAAGCAAAGCATGTCTTCACCTCCATTTTGACATGTTTTGGAATTCATTAATGTTAATTCACATTTTTCAATAAGGCATATGTATTGGTGTTTTTGCTTAATAGATATCTGGCATAAATAATTGCAATTAATGCAATTATAAGCTACACATGAACAAATGGAAGGAGATTATGAATGATTAGGATCATGGCAACATCCATATGCTTAAATCACTTCCATTTTGGATTTAGAAATTTTTAGTGCTTGATTTTCGTTGTACAGAGTGTATAAATTGCAGTTCATACAGAGTGATGCTTAGTCATTTGCATAAATATAATGATTACTACGAGGTGCGATCGGAAAGTTTCAAGACTGCGCCTATGAAAACCCGTACACTTATCTCAGGTATTAAATTCATCCATCACCCTCGAAGTAGTTCCCCTGGGAGTGAACACAACGATCCCAGCGCCGCTGCCAAGCCTGGAAGCATCCCTGGAAATCTTTCTTTGCCAGCCTGTCAAGCACCATCTGCGATTCTGCCTGAATCTCTTCTATCGTCTCAAATCGCCTTCCCTTTAGCTGAATTTTCATCTTTGGGAAGAGGAAGAAGTCACACAGAGCT